TATCCAGGAGCTGCACAACAGACAGGGAGGAAGAGCCACCTTTTTGGCTGCTAGTGCAGTTTCCTTTAGGCTTCTTAGCAGCTGAGCAGAGTTGAGCTAGTACTTGCCTTACAAAGGTGACAACGTGCCTAGTACAGGGGTGTTGTGTTTTCGGCAGGTTGCTAAGGACTCCTCTTCCACACTGAGGAAAAAACCTGCCGGGCCTGATCTGTATGCTTCAGGAATATGGGAATTACCTGGGGGAGGAAGCAGTGTGGCCCCTGCTGAGGTGCAGGGGTAGTGCAGTGTAGTAAGGGTTCTGATTGAAAAGGCCAAGTGTCCCATCTGCTCTACAGCAGTTTTGGTCATGAGAGTGGAAACAGTGCAGCTGCAGGTTTGGATGCTGTCATTACCCAAAGCTGCAGCTTTTCACCATGTAAGAGCATGGTAACAAATGCCTGGTCAAAACAAAACCATCAGCACTGCAGCCTGGAAGGTGTGCGGGGAGAAATCTCTCCCATTCCACCACGTTTCCAGTTTTGAAATGTTGGAATGTTGTTACCTGTGAACAGAAAGGTGAAGCATAGTTGTGTGTTTGGTCACCATCTCAGAATTCTAATTGGCTTGCAGTGTCGTAACTGCCTTGTATATTAGCTAGCTGTCGGTGGCTGTCCTCGGGTGATGCTTCCAGCTGCATAGCTGTTGGTCAATGAAGGACTGCCACGAGCCTGCTGAAGGTAGACTTGACATCTTTTTCTTCATTAAAATAGAATATCAGTTCTAAGTTCAATAGGGATTTTGGGTGGCATGGTTTAGTGGGAGGTGTCCCTGCCCATGGCAAGGGGGTTGGAACTGGATGATCTTAAGGTCCTTTCCAACCCTAACTATTCTAGGATTCTATGATTGTCCTGTATGCTCTATACAAATGTATATGTGTATACATAACTGTGTACACATAGCATCACATAACTGTAATGTTAGCTGGTCTGAGCCATCTAGTCCATGTTAGGGAGTACTGGCTGGATGTTAAAGCTGGGTATGTAAGATGTGTGTCTGTTCCTCAAATAACATACAGATCTTTGCATTCCTGTGTTCTTCTGTGCCTCCTTAAATTGTACTGAAACTGAGCTTGTGTTGTCCTGTGTGGCTGAAGTCTTCTGGAGTAGTGGGAAGCTGGGGGGTTAGGATACAGCTCTCTCTATGCTACCTTAAAGGGGAGTAAGGACCCCAACTCTTATCTCTCCTCCTCTCTACGTTGCGATATGTAGGAAATGTAGATGCCTATTTTAAGATTGCGTATTTTAAAGTAATTCCTGTTTGCTACTTCTAGCTAGAACAGTAACCTACCTGTTGCAATAGGGCACATCTGGATTTAGGGTTGTTCTTTTTTTGTCAGCTATTTATTGCCAGTCGTGTGTGTAGAGATCAGATACTACTGGTTTTCTCACAATGGGGAGTAAGTAGCTGATAATGCAGGGTTAAAAAAATTACCTCATGGCATAGGAGAAAGAGAATTGCTTGAGAGAAATGGGAGATCGGGTTAATGGTGAAATACAGTTTGTTGGTGTTAATACCTATAGAGGGATGGGGATATTTAGCTCCGAGCAGGGACTTTGCCCCGATGCTTTGTTTTTAGCCTCTCGGAGTGGTTCGGGTTGGAAAGGAGCTTTCTGTAGCCTCTCGCTCCTGTGCGTTTAGAAGCCAGGGGCTGGTGCGTTACGACCCCAGCTCTGCTGCGCTCTGGCACCTCCTGGCGCGGTGCTCGCAGCGCCGTCAGTTGCGCTTCTAACGCGGAGCTGGGACCGCGGGGGGAGCCTGCGGCCTGCGCGCCCGCGGGCGATGCCAGGGCGCCGCCTGGCGGGCGCGGGAGGCTCCGCCCGCTCGCCGGGAAGGGCGCAGCCGCCGCGGCGCTGAGTGCGGTGGGAGCCTGCGGTCTGTGGGGGCACTTGCTGGCGGCTGCGGTTAAACCTCGCCGTGAGCTGGGGCTGTGAATGTGCCCTTCAGTCGTTGTGCGGGCGTCTCCTGCATCTTCTGGCTGCAGAAGGGCCTGCGAACTGGGTGTTGGTGAGCTGTAGCCGCTGTGCTCAGCGTGCTGTGGGCACAGGCAGCGGGAGGACTGGGAAGTCATCCTTATCCCAAGAATAAGCGAGCTGGTGTTGCCGGAGCGACAGTGGAAAGACAGGAGGCAGAGACGTTGGGTGGTTAATGGGCTGTCAGACTGCAAAGTGGTATCTTTACTAGGGAAATTGTATATGAAAGTGACTTGCATCTATTGTGGAGTTTCTATTATATAGTTATGTATTTACTGATACAAAGCAGGGTTTGTGTATAATCAAGCAGAAGCCTCTATTCAGTATCTATTTCTCCTTGTCTCAGAAATAATTACCACTTGCTTTATGCATTGAACCCGGGGAGTCTCCTGACTTGTCAGTCAGAAGCTTAAGAAGAGTAAGTATCGAACTGTCACTTGGCTCAGCACGCTCTGTTCCTATGCAGCAGTTCATTTTCCAAGGCTGCCTTTCCCCTCCATGTTTTGCCTCTGCAGAGAGGCGCCTTTTCAGGGAAGTTTCCAGCCCATCTTGGCCGTGAGAGGGCAAGCTCTGAGTAAAAGCCTTCCAAGGAGTAAAGGCTTGTTCCTGGTTTCCCTGTAGCAAGCAGAGTCTGCCGCACTTTGCCTGCAGGAATCAGCCCTCTGCAGGAGGAGAGTGGCTGATGACAACGTGGTTGTGCAGAAGGTGATCTCTGTCACTTGTTAGGAATCCAAGGAGCAGAGTGTATTCTGTCGTCTTCTGGGAATTCAGTGTACTGCTCTTGAAAACCATGTTTTGAAATGAGACCTCGTGAGTGGTACAGGATTGCAGCGCTTGCTTTCACTGTCCTCAGTCAGACAGCCCAGTATGGCACCAAGGTAGTTAAAAAAACCCAACTAACCATAAATAACAGAATCATGGAGTGGTTTGGGTTGGAAGGGACCTTAAAGCCCATCCAGTTCCAGCCCCCTTCCAGCAGATAAGGTTGCCCTAAGCCCTGTCCAACCTGGCCTTGAACACTGCCAGGGATGGGGCAGCTGCAGCTTCTCTGGGCACCCTGTGCCAGCGCCTCAGCACCCTCACAGGGAAGAGCTTCTGCCTAATATCTAACATGAATCTCCCCTCTGGCAGATTAAAGCCATTCCCCTTGGCCTGTCCCTACAGGCCCTTGTCCAAAGTCCCTCTCGAGGTTTCCTGCAGCCCGTTTAGGCACTGGAGCTGCTCTAAGGTCTCCCCTTAAGGAGCCTTCTCTTCTCCAGGCTGAACAAGCCCAGCTCTCAGCCTGTCTCCATAGGAGTAAGTCCGATCAGGAACACACTAACAGAAGTTCTGTCATGGAGCAAGCTGAACTCTTCACCTCACAAAACTGAAGGCTCGCAGGTGTCCGTGCACACCTCTAATGTCATTCCAGACACCTGGACAAGCCCCTACTGAAGTTCAGTTCAGGTGCCACAGGTTTAAGTCTGCCTGAGAACAAGAGTTCACTGGCGTGCCTTGTGCTTGGGGGACTTAGGAATGTGGTAATTCCCCTTGCAGACCTCTGCTTTAGTATGAAGAACATCAGGTCATGGTTCTCAGCCGCAAGGCAGGTGTGTGAGTGGTGCCTCAGTTCCTGTGCAGAAAGAGGTACAAACTTTGTTTCTACAGACAGGGTTTCATGCGTTTTCTACTAAACTTATGTAAAACAAGCCCAAGAAGTGTGGTTTGTGAGTTGGCACTCCTGTTAATGTCATATTTCTGTTACTATTGCACGTGTTGTGGGCTTGCCTGGCTCTACTGAAGGCACTAGTAAGAAGGTTGGACCCTGGTGGCACATACCTCGCTGGCATTGGGATGCCACGGTGCGTACATCCTGGCTCTGGGCTGTACCCTCAAGTCAGTGTGATGTTCTGTGCACAGGCCGGGGGGCTTCTGGGGTTAACCTGGAACGCAGATTAAACTGTTCCTGCGTGCAGCTCTTTTGGCAACTGTTGGAAGCACATATGTATCAAATAGAACAAATGAAGGAGCTTTTTAAGTGATCAAAAACTCCATCTCTCTGCTCCTAGTTTTCTGACCCTTATACTGTAACTCCTACCACCGATCTGCCCCTCCCTGCTTTGGTACCAACCCAAAATCAAGCCAAAAATGCTAGGGAGAAACAGAGTGCAGGCGCCTGCAGCTGAGGGCTGTAATCAGTCCTGAAGAGAAGGAAATGGGCTTTGAAAGGAGGGAAGGGCAGGTCAAGCAAACAGGGTTTGGAAAAACAGTGTTAACTCGCCCCAGGGCGGTCTCCCCAGATACCTTGGCACTGATTTTCTCTTGTAATGGAAGAGCTAAAAGTGACCTTCAGATGCTCAGAGTCTGGTATAAAAAGATGTAGGTATGTACTGACCTTCTGCTGTATTTAGACCAGTATTAATAGAGTGAATAATAATGAGAACGTGTATTGCACCGCTGCCGTATTTTCCGTGTGCTTCGCTGGACGTCTGTAAAGCACACAGGGCTGCGTGTAACAGCGGAATACGGAGCTCTCTGCGACTTGGCTCAGCCCAGTAAGGAACCGGCTTTCCCTCGGCTCTAAAGCCGATAGCGGCAGCGGGTGTTGTGTTGGGCCGTGCCGCTGCTCGTACTGCAGAGCAGGATCTTCCAGTGTCAGTCGTGAATTATTAAACTAAACGAGGCGTTAGAAAGCCATTGTTTATTTATGGCTTTCTGCATCGATATTAATTTAGCCTTCAGGCCATAAAACAGTGAACTGGAGGAACAACTCGTTCGGTGTTACAGTGCTCCTAACAGGCACTATGCTCCCTGGACGTGTATTTTCAGGGCTTTAAGAAGTGGCCGTTCCGAGGCAGCGGCAGACCCGGTGTGGCGGGCACCGGGCCGCTGTTCCCGGGGCCGGAGGAGCCTCCATGAAGGAGCAGGGCCCAGCGCTGCCCCGGGGCTCCTGGGGCGGAGCCGCCGGCTCCCCCAGGGCAGCCGCGGGGCCGGGGTTGCCCGGGCCCGGCCGCGCCCCCGCCGCGCTGAGGGCTGTTGGGCTCCGCCCGCCGCCACTGCAGTGGGAGCCGGGAGGCTGCCGAGGATGGCGGCGGCGGCGCCGGCCCGGGAGCTCACGCAGAACCCGCTGCAGAAGACATGGGAGCCCTACGACAACGGGCTGCCGGCGGGGCACAGCGCCCAGCGCGGCGGTGAGCGGGGCCGGTGGAGGGGGGGGGGGGTCTGCCCGGGCCGCGCTGCCGGAGCCCCGCGGGCGGCAGCTGTCAGCGGGACCCCCGGGCGGCCGCTCCTCCTCCTCCTCATCCCCACGGTCGGTTGGGCCGCAGCGGGCGAACCGGGGCCCGCGGAGCCCCTCCCGGGGGCGATGCGCGTTCAGCGGGGTCGGGGTGCGAGGGGAGCGGGCAGAGGCGGGAGGGCCCCGCCACCGTTACCGTTGGGGCTTGAACCCGCGCCCGGTGTGAAGGACTCGTTTAATGGTCCCCTGGGGCCGGGTGATGTGCGGGGACGGTGAACGGAGGTGGGGCGGCCGCGGGGGATCGCCCGCTACGGGAAGGCAGAAAACGGCGGAGCTGCTGGAGCTGCGCCCGGGCGGAAGGGGACAGAACTGCGCTGGAAACAGGGTCTGCTCCAGTGGCTTCTGGTCTGTACGAGGCTCTGGTTCCAAGCAGCGTTTGTAGTCAGCGTGTTCTTCCTGAAGGGAGCCCTAAAAATGTCACTGTATCTTGCATTCCTTTCTTTTAAGGCCAGTGCTGTAGCGGGCCATCTGTTGTACGAGTTAATGGCTTGCTTTATTTTGAGGTGCAGCCAACCAAGTCATCAGTCCCTACAGACTTAAGGCTGTGGCGTGTGTAAACCATAGTTTATTACCAAACTTCGCCTCACGTGGTTATTTCCTCTTTGCTGCCTTACTTACAGAAGCGAGGTTCGGTACACGGCGGTGCTGCAGACAAAAGGGGCTTTGTGGGGTGGAATTGTTCTTATTTGTCATGCAAAGAGGCTGCGCTGACAGCGAGCGGAGGGCTCTGCTGTATGGCAGGCGGCCCTGCGCTGCTGCCTCTCGGCTCTGGCCCTGCTTTGGTCCAGCAGCGCTTGCTAAACACAAAGCCCGAGCTGCCTTGGTTTGAGCTAGGGAAGCAGACGTAGTTTCTGTGTGAACTGAACCACTCCAGCACCTGAAAACCAGCAGGTGTTGAGAGGAGCTGAGTGCTGGAAGAGTGTCAGAAGGTGTGTTTAATGGCTTTTGTGAACCCGCTAAGGAGAGCGCTTTGCTTTAGCCTTAATGTGGCACAGATACACCGAAAAATCCCCATAGGAACAAAATTGTGTATTGGTCATATGTAAACTGGTGACAGAATCGTCTTGGCAGAATTATTTAGCTATAACTAAACCCATGTATACCAATTTTATTTTTTTTTAAAGATTCCTTTTAGATTCTCTATTTTTGGTGCCCAGGACCCTTTACAATTGAAAAACCTTTCTCCTAGAAAAACAGATTTGAAAAGACAGTTTTAATCAATCCTTTTGCACGTGTTTGCTCTTGCAGCTCTACCCATAATGTGTCTACGGTCATTTGTGATCCATAGTAATTACAAACAGCCTAGAGAGGAGCAGGACTTACTCTTCCTTGATAAAAGCATGTATCTTGTTTCAGCAAATGGAACACTCTTAGTTTTTCCTGAGCAAGGGTACTGTGAAGCCCTTTCTCCTCAGATTTCCATGTATCGTGTGTCATCCCGTGTTCTGATGTACCAGTGTGACCCATGGGTCCTGTAGCCATGCCAAGACAGCACAGGATGGACTGCCCAGGCTAGGTTATGTGGGGCAGTGTTGGGTTGACCCATTCCACATCTCTGCTGCTGCAAGTAACTCTGTGTTTTGAACAATAGTATTTAACATAAGCTCAAGTTGGAAGTGGATTTCTTGTCCTCAAGAGCAGCTTTCCAGTGGAAGCAGTGAAGGTAGTTGCTCTGATGTCTTCTGAATTCCTAGGCTAAGGAAGATGAACTCTTTCAGTCTCCTTTGGTTTGGTTTATTTCCTTATTCATGCTGATGTCCTGTGTGCAGACATGCACTACTTTTAGTCTTATTTTACCTTTTTAGAAGATGGGTGAGCAGAATCATACATGCTTCTAGTTGAGGACTCAGCAGATCCATCTCCAATGGGACTTGCCTGTGTTAGCCGGTTTTAGTCTGATTTCCTGAAAGCTGTAGCAACTCATTACCTGAGGAAGAAGAAACCTGGGTACCTGTGCCAGGGTTTAGCTGTCAGAGGGCTTTGAAGAGCTGGTTCTTTTAGTCTGTGCTTTACGAGGTCTTCAAGGAGAAGATCTGGCCATGTGTGGCTGACTGAGCTTTTACAGCTAGTGAGACCAGTAAGACAACTTTTAAATGACCCTCTAAAGTAAGACTTGCAGGCAGTAGAAGTGTGTGTTTTTGTTAATAACTGCCACTTACCTGGTGTGGCTTTGTGTGAAAGGTTTTGTCTGTAAATAGGCTGCACTAAAGCTGCTCTTGGCATTGGATGCCGTATGGCTTCAAGCTTTATGAATCAAGCAGTGAGCTACAAATATGGACGTAAAAATAAGTAATAAAGTATGGTACAGTGAAAGTTGTTTTGGGAGCCTAGCAGAGGATGTTTATAGAGAGATAAACAGTGAACTTCCTGTGGTTAAACACTTCCCCCCCATGCTGCTGTTAACAGCTTTGCTTCCCTAAAGCTGCTGGAATTTTGTCATTCTGACAGTTCTTGTTTGATGCTTGTACAGCAGTATGAATGTACATCAGGTTCAAAAGAAATCAAATGGTTATCTTTGCCCTAAAGAACTCTACCCTTTGAGCTCCCGCTGCTTATGTGTGTTTGTGCTCACAACCCTAGGAGCTGGAGATGGAGAAAGTGAATGAGGTGAGGATAGCACCCAGCTGTAGCCTGAGGATCAGGATGTGTGATGGGGCATCGCTGTTAGCATCAAAGCTGTAGGAAGCAAATGGTGACTTGGAGCACGTGGTTGGCAGCGCTGCTGAGAGCAGCTGGTGGCAGGAGGCTGGATAGAGAACAAGTACGAATTCTGAATCCCTTGTACCAAGGTGATGTTAGAAATGGGGGATTTGGACAAAAAGAGGAGAGGCGAATTGGAAGATAATGGACTTCAGGTACAGGAGCAGGGTGCTCTTCAGGAAGAGCAGCAGGATGGGGAATTCCTCGCTGGGGGATGCCAAGAAGGGTGACTGATTGTCATTACTGATCAACAGGAAACAAATGGATTAACAATAGTCAAGTTGGATGGCAGGGGAAAACATGTAGTGCTAGCCTTATTTGGAAGGGTGGTTGTGTTGGTTTAAGATGTTTGTGTATAAGCCTCTAAATAGTGCAGTGCTTTTGGAGGACAGGCCTTGGGTCGAAGGCCACAGAAACATCAAGAATCCTTTGTAAACTTTGGACGGCAAACTGTGGCAGTTGGACACAAAAAGCATCTGACCCTAAAAATTGACTTCAAAATTTAATGCAGAGAAGGAGAAGACAAAATCTCATTTTGGGTGGAAGGGACAGCCAATAACTTGTGAGGAGGACTTGAAAAATACCACCTCTTGTCTCTGATTTCACAAGAGTTTCGTGGGCTGGTGAAATGCTGTACAGCTGATAGAGGTTGTTCAGTGTCCCAGTTTGTTTCTCAACCGTCTGGATCTTGCATTATTTCACAATGGAGACTTAAGAGGCAAGAAATGAGCATGTTGTTTCTTCTTTCCTTGGCTGTTCGTAACTTCAGAAGGGTAGGCAGTCATAACTGCACTCTTGAGCTGCGACATGCTGTGTTGTTCAGTAGCATAGAAGGAACACTTAGCTGCAATAATGACTTTGCTTAAACTGCAGTACTTGATTTTAATGCACTTCATCACTTGGCCATTTTCCTTCACTGGTTGGTATTTTGAGCACGTTTTTTGTGTGTTCCCTCTGAGTGAGGGGATGCAACAAACAGTTCCTGTTGATGCTGCTGTTTATAAACATGCAGTCTCACATGCATATATTACAGATACATTTTAGAGAAGAAGAATGTGTAAAGTCATAGGGCATCTTTAGCGACTGATGGCGTACAACCCTGTAAGTTTTGGGTTACTGTTCTGAATGTGCATGTTCCCCTAGCAAAATCAGTGTTGATAGCACATCCATAGGACTTATATATGTGAAGCAGCATTAAAAAATGAGTTTGTTTTCTCGAGACTAGTTGTGTAGAGACATTTCTGGAGGTAAACCAGGCAATCCAATGGTAAGGAATTGAGAGAAATCTGCACTTAGGAGTCTGCCTTGGCTCAGCAACCTGCTCCTATATAACTATTTCTATGCTGCAGGTAGCTTTTCATACAAAGTGAATGATGAGGTGCTGTGAAAGGGGGAACTGAGCAGTGTGCTGTTGGGAAAAGATTAAAGTAGAAAGGCTTTTTTCATTCCAGGAGTTAGATTTGTGTAACTTGTGGTTTGTTTGGGTTTTTTTTTTCTATTTCCTCATGTCAGAATTGCGTGCATTTCTTCAAGGGAAGGTGGAAGTTTTGACACACAGATCCTTTGAATCCTGTGGTTGGAATGAGTGCTTCTCACTGGCACTGGGTAACATTTTGTTAAGAAAGCTGTGGCTTAGTCAGATAAAGGTGATAAAATTCTGTTGAATGTTTGAATATTTGCTGCATGCTCAGAACTTGGTGTTTTGTTCTGGTCTTTGACTTTCTCACTGAGCTAATGGGCAAAACCAAGCCTTGTAAGGAAGCAGACAGAACCCTCTGCTGTGCTGAGTCTTGTGTGTGTTGTTAAAACAGCCAAATCCTGGATTGTGAACTGGCATCCTCCTTGTTCAAGACAAGTGCTAAGGGGTGGTATGTGCTGTAGCACCATGTACTGTGTAGTGATGTTTACAGGGCTATGGAGGTATGTATTAGCATCATTGGAATGAGTGGTATTCCTCCTTTTGGTGTGCAGGGAATCTGTCTTGCTGGTACCTGCCTTTAAAGAGGAAAAGCTCTCTGGGTCAGCCTGGTAGCTAATCAGAGGAGGATTGCAATTTACTTGATAGGGATGAACAGATAATTCCCTTGATTTCTAGTGCATTGTCACACAGTAAAGAGTGGTGCACTGAGTGATCAGGAACAGATTAGGCAGCAGGACTTGGCTTAGAGAGCAGCTGTTGGTGTAATATGTGAAGCAACCGTTCAAGTAGATTGCAGGTTTCTTCATGGCATTTTCCTAGCCCTTAATTTTACTCCAGTATATGTTTATTGCTACGTTACCAGAAGGCAGTTACTGTGTGAGAGGGCTGCCTTTGTATGGCTCAGCCCAGGAGAAGGAGAAAAAGAGAGGTGATACTGGTGTAGCATTAGTTGGTAAATTCTGGTAAAGAGTGGGTCAAGAAGCCTGTTTCATTAGCACAGTTCCTTGCAGAGCACTGTGTACAGAGCCTTTCCATATACAGATCCTAGTTTGTCTTTTGCCACTCTTGTTTCACTGCTTATGCTAGAAAATTGTTTAAAACTTGAGCTAGATGTTTCGGGTGAAGAGCCTTTGATGAACAGTGTCTCCCCTTAAAGTTTTTAAGGGGCTCAAGGATTTCAGTTATCTCAGTATTTTGTTTTATTGCCCTTAAATCTAGAAGCAAAGCTGTTTAGTAAGCAGTGTACTCTTTGCACTTGATAGACTTTGTTTCCCCCGAATCTGCCTGCCGTCTCTTGGAGACAGGGTTCACAGGCCTGAACTTCGGACAAAGAGGCGAAGGGACAAGAAAACGTTATCTTTCTTGTTTATCAGCTTCTGCACAGAGGAGCTTACTCCAAGGGCTTTTATAAGTGGCCTTCTAGAGACATGGATGGGTTTGAATGGATCCGTTTCAGTTTGCATTCAGTTCCCTGCAACTTCCATTACATGGAGTAGTAGACTGTCTCATGGGTGTGAGGTTGGGTATGGTTTTGCATCCTCTCTCTCTCATGAAAAATGGTGTGTTTTTCATGGCTTTGGGGTTGGTTTTGTTTTCAGTGTGTGTTTTAAGGCAGTGCATCTGGCTTTGCTAATCCGTGGGTTTGCTCTGCAGAGTAGCTGTGCCAGTGACTTTGTGGGATGGGACTTTGTCAGTCCAACCTCCGGAAACCTTCACTCACGGTGGTTTGCGCAACAGCTTGGTTACGTCCTACAGCGTAACACTGTGATTTAGTCTTTGGAAGCAAATTGACTCCTCTCTCAAGACACTGAGGAAACTGATGCACGTGTTGATTATACAGTAATTAATGCCCTTTGAAGTAGGGGATGGGGGGAGCCAGTGGTATCTTTGCACCTCTTTAATGTCTTCTTTCTTTTTAGGCAGTTCCTTGTAGCTGTGATAGATTCATGCAAGGTATCCATGGTTTTATGCCATTAAACTGCTCAAAAACTTGTCATTTGAAAGGAAAGGCCTCAAGGTTTTCAGTTGATCCATGTAACTCCTTTAAATGACTACAGGATTGTGTTTTACTGACTAAACACTGCTTTTGCTAAAGTACTTCTGTACATATATCTATCAGATTATTGTACATGCTTAGAATACCTGTACTTTATTCCTAGTAATCATTGAAGAACAGTCAAAGTTAGTCCTGGTTTTAAATCTTACTAACACAAAAACCTCTCTTGAAAGGAGAAATAAGAAATAACGAGTACCATGTTGTGCTATGATGTATTAAGCTGCATTTGTCACGCTAGTTTTGCTCAAAACCCAAGAACAATGTTGAGGACTTGTTTTAAAGATTTAAAAATTGTCTTTAAATTGTGTACACCTTGCTGTTTCCTTTCAATGCAAGCACTGAACTCAGTGGTTTGAGCAGCCTGGTCCAGGGGAAGGTGTCCCTGCGCATGGCACGGGGGTTGGAGCTAGATGATCTTTGAGATCCCGTCCAACCCAAACCCTTCTATGATACTAAGATGTCAGTGTCCTTTTGGTATTGTTTTTGTATGCCTTAAAACACGTATGTAAGTACATAGGCTTCTTGTGTTCTGCCTGCACACAACTCACGCGTCCAGTGTTGCACTGCCACTGACTCGCTCTTCCAAAACTCAACACAGCATAAAACCCCTGGCTGGGTCCACAGAACCCCTGAAGAAACCCCCTGAAACAGTGAGACACGATGCATGAGCTGCCCGAATGGTCACTTCCAGACAGCACATGGGTTGTAGTTCTCCACCACAGTGTAAGCCTTCGCCTCGTGGGGAGCATTCATGGTAAATCCTAGTTTTCTGTTTTTTTCTGTTTCAGTATGTATGACCAATTGCCCTACTCTGATTGTCATGGTGGGTCTCCCAGCAAGAGGAAAAACCTACATCTCCAAGAAGCTGACACGCTATTTGAATTGGATTGGAGTGCCTACAAAAGGTGATGCGTTTACTACTGTTTACATCAGAAGGACGGGGCAGATGTTAGGTGTTTAGTTTAGTTCCCATTAATTACATTGCAAAGTTTGACCACTTAAAATCCTTCTGTGTTGTAAACTTAGTCTTAAGCAATAGCATACACAAGGCTCTCAGTTCCATTTAGGTGTTAATTAAACGTATCCTGGTAACTGTTGTTTTACCACCTTCTGCCAGGTGTTCTGCCCTTGCCCCTTAACACTTCAGTTGTCCTTATTTATTTATTTAGATTTCTTCCCTTGGTTTATGTGGGTGAAAGGGAATCTTGTTTGCAGGTGGATGAGCAGTTGGCACTTGTGACTTCTCAATCTTCTGTTCTCTGTGACCTTTGTGCAATGTCTAATTCCTTGTGTAACTCCTCGTATAACTGCATTTGTGGAATGAGTTAACAGCCCTTTCAATATTAAGAGCCATAGGAACTGGAGCAGTGCTTGTTATGACTCTCTTAAGGATTTTATATGTGTGTTGTGAGTGGGAAACGACAGCTCAGCTTTGCTGTGCCAAGGACCTGGCTGTCCTGCCTCATTCCTGAGCTCCTGTGGTACTCTGTGGGCCTAGATAGGCAAGTAAATAAAACCTAAGTCTGTTTGGAGGTTCTGAGATGCCTTCTCCCCTGCCTTTTCCTCCACCTCTGTAGAAGAAAAAGATAGCTCTAGTGTTCTGTGAGTCTGTGTCTGGTGCAGTAATGATAGCTTTATAGTTATGACTAGTTAATCATTTAAATAACATAAAACATCCTAGATCATGCATGTATTTCCTAGTAGCTCTAAGAAGTCAAGGTAAAGAGTTCTGGCCTGTATTTAAACAGCTGTTTGATTTGAGGGTGTAGCTTTTTTGAGTTGGTGTTTTCTTAACCTCTTGGAAGCTTGTTGCCTTATTTAGATAAGACGTTATGGAGGATATGTTACATTGCTTCAGTATGAGAGTTTACAGGATTTAAGTTGTCACTTGACTGTTTTCACTCAGTATAACCCTTCTAATGAGCAGTGTCAGGGTATGTCGCTTTTATCCATTAGGCTGAAATGGAGTAACAATCTAACTAGGTTAGCCTATATCCAAGCTGATAAAGTGTATGTGATAAAACTATGCTTGTATGTTAGGTATAACATGCATGTCTGTAAAGATGTATGTATGTCACTGTGTTGAACATTTTATTGTATGACAAAGCAAAAATCCAGTATTGGGCAACAAACAAGATATTGTCCACATCCAGTTCATGCTTGGTTGAATGTATCCCAGGTACACTAAAATAGGTAGGGGTAGTCTGCTTCAGTTACAGGAAGAGTTCCTTGGCTACTGGGAGCAGCACATCAGAAAGTACATGCAGTTGTGCTTAATAAAAAATAATTAGGGTGTTGCTACCTCATTTTACAAAGATATAGAATCACAGAACAGTCAGGGTTGGAAAGGACCTTAAGATCATCCAGTTCCAACCCCCCTGCCAGGGGCAGGGACACCTCACACTAAACCATCTCACCCAAGGCTTCGTCCAACCTGGCCTTGAACACTGCCAGGGATGGAGCATTCACAGTTTCCTTGGGCAACCCATTCCAGTGCCTCACCACCCTCACAGGAAAGAACTTTTTCCTATGTATACATGGTGAATAGCCCTAACATCAGTTACCTTTAGCTCTTAATATTAGCCTGCACTTAATACCGAGAGTGTTCTTAGTCTCCAAGAGAGATGGTTAAAATTACAAGGTTGTGTAAACCCGAGGAAAGATAAATGCTGTCTTTTCATGTGACATGTATTAAGCAAGCTGAAGAGTTCAAGAGCATAAGGTGGAGGCAAATAGCCCAGGGTTGATGTTAGTTGAACCGTTTCAGCAATCAGTCCTGCGTTTTCTTTTCTCTCTTCCAAAATCCTCTCCTGTTTAGAATGTGAAATGGTAAAAAAATACAAAGGACTTTTGTCTGAGCTTTTTGGAGGAAATGAGGTCAATTAGATGCCTGAATAGAATTGTGTTGCAATGTGTTTTTTAGATACTAAACTTAGGGAAGCTTTTCTGGAACAGTTCTGGCTGTGTGGTAATTGTGATTCCAGTTAGCTTTGTGAAACTCTTCCGCAAGGGTGCATGTTAACAGTAAGGGCTGAAGATTGTCCCACTAGATAGCACTTTTTCCATGTCTCTGCATGACCCTCTTGCAGTAACTATTTCTTCTTGAGAAATTCATTGGTTTTGATTTTTAAAGGGCTACTGCCTGCAACATTGGCCTTCTGAGCTCCTTCATCTTCTGTTTTTCTGACAAGGAGCCATTCTTTCACGCCGCTGGTATGACCAGTGCTCATTCATCCTGTGACAGAATAACTTGGATTGTACTGTAATCCATGTCACACATCTGACCACAAAAAAGTGACATCAGCATTGGTGAACTCGAGCAAAACCTGACTTTTTGGGGGATTAAGCAATACTTCCTCTGCTTCCAGTCCCCGAGAGCAGTCTATGGACAGCAGCTGGTGGTTGAACTCTATTCTATGTGTTTTCTTTCTTAAATGCGATTTGGCAATTGTGTGTATTACTCCATTTCTTCTTTCTAGAAATGAAGTCTCTCGAGTAGTTACACCTTGGCAGCTTCTCAAACAGAGCACTTAAGTTTGATCTGATGTTAAAAAAATGCTTTGCAGTTCAGCAGAGAAAACCTACAGGTCAGAAACAACTTAAAGCATCAATTGCACTTCAGAGACCTACTTTCAGAGTTGTTGGATGAAGTTCATTAGGATACAGTGTCATTGTCTCCTCTATGGCAAAACAACTGCCTTGCCCTAATCCCATATCCGGTATTGTGACACGTGTATGGCCATTGACATTATGGACTTTTGCCCAGGTAAAGAGTAGTCTTCTTGGCCACAAGAGATCACAGTACGATTATGTTCAGTAATACTGCTGAATGGTTTGTTGAGATTTTTACAACTTAAGCATATAAAATAACTGGAACAGGGGTTGTGCAATAGTATGTGCTGATCCTTGAGGAATAGAAATATTTGAGCAGGGTTCTGACAAAATGGTTCCACAACTTGAATTTTAAGGTTTGTTTATCAAAACCAAAATTGGTTAGTTCTATTTAGTACTCTCCCTTGGTTAAACAGGAGCTGGACGTTTTGGGAGGTGCCATCAGAGTGCTGTCTCCCTGCACATATGCACAGAAGCAGCAGCTAGATTCTTTGTAGGCTATCGAAATAGACTGCCAACCCCCCCTGCGAAGGAGGAAAAGGTTTTTTTTGGTGATGTTCAAGCAAACCGGCAGATAGCAGCACAGCAGTACGACCAAATGACTCTTGAAACTACTGCCCAAATGCTCTTTTGCCATTCCCATGGTTTTTTGTTGCAGTTGAAAGCAACCAAACCCCCCTAAAATGCAAGAAGTTGGCTTTGTACATGCTAAATTATTTTATCCTTGCAGGGAGTTTGGTTTCCGAGCTGTCAGAACTTTTGTCCTTTTGCCATGAGTATCATTAGTTCCCACTAAATCCCGGTTTCTCGTTGGCAGAATTTAATGTTGGTCAGTATCGCCGAGACTTGGTGAAAAAGTATAAATCTTTTGAATTCTTCCTGCCTGACAATGAAGAAGGCTTGAAAATCAGGAGGTAAGTTTGGACTGTGTTTGCTACACAATGCTGAAAGCTACCCTGTATAATTTGCTCATAAAGACTGCTTTAAGTTGTGTTTTTGTATGCTCAAGAAGATGCTTAAGAGACTGCAGTATGAAATGACAAGGAAGAGAAGTTCTAGAGCAAGCAGGTAAGAGATTTGTTTAGGCTGCTTAAAAGTTGGGCTGTTTTTCTCTTAATTGCTTCATCTAAAGCATCAAAAATGCAGAGAAGGTAAATCCTGGATTCTTTTTCACCTTTCAGGAGGTTGTGTTTGCTGCTATTCCTGCAGATATTCCAGTATATTTTCCCTCAAAATGAAGCAGTTCTAACAAATGCTTAACAACTTTTCTTTTTGGTTTGCATACTGGAATTTTTCACCTGGAGTACTTTGAATGTATTTGTCATTATCCATTCAAATAAGCCAGAATGAAACAATATTATTCCCTCCCTGAAATTGTTGTTGCCCACCGTGCAGGTGCTTGATGCATTCAGTTGGTGCACTGCCTTGAAAACTGTTTTCCTAGTGCTGTTCAAAGCAAGGGGAGCATCAGTGTGATGTCTGTGCACAGATGAAGCACTTGAGACTCCTTTCTTGCTTGGAAAAAGGCTCTGCTTTAATGTAAGAGAAAGGGTAGATGAAGAGAAGGTCAGAGCAAGAGGGAGCTACATTTTTCTTACAGAATGGGAAGCTCTTTTGATTTTCTTTGCCATTTATTGTTCAGGAAAACATAGGAGAATGTGCAGTATAAAGTGAGAAGTATCAGAAATACTAGAGGAATGGACATGCAGTTTGTTTAGGCTACTTAAAATGTGGAGTATTTTGTTCTTAGTTGCTTCAGCTCAAGCATTAAAAATGTCTGGACTTTTCCTGATGTCTGGACTTTCTTTTGTGGCTGTTCCTCTGCTCGTCCTCTCTCTCTTCCCTTTCCTCTTCTGCAGCAGTTGAGCATTGCTGATGTGAGAGGGAACTTGCATAAGAACCAACTGATCCTTTGGGACCAGAAAGTAGATACGAGGTGCATTAGCCTTGCAAGCCCTTACCTTTTGCTTAGAGGTAGAGCCAAACCTTTTAATGTGCCTCTGTGTCGCCTATTAAACTAAATGGTGGGGAATAGAACATGAAATGGGCTGTGAGAGCTAAACTGCCTGCTTAGCAGTGAGTAAAGAGGGTTTATATTTATTTAGTGAAGACTTCACTGATGAATCTCGGTTCCTGACAGCCATTAACCCTGCTAATGTGGAAATACTGTCAGGATTGGAAAGCTTTAATTTTTCTTTCAAGAGAAAGCTGTGCATGCAAGATACGCTAAATGTAAGAGAAGAATTAGATGTTTCAGTCTGGGAAGTCAAAATAGAGCAGTAATGCAGAGAAAGGCTGTTGAAAGGGATAGGTTTTTATGTTGGTATTGCAGAAAGATTGTACTTCATGGAACTAAATGGAGCTTTGTTCTTCTAATGAGTAAATCCTGTACAACATTAATGTTGCCCTCCAGTATTATTTATGTGCTAGAAATCATAATGGGCTTTGAAGATAATGCTAGGCCTGAGGAAATAGGAGAGTTGCAAATTAATTTGTTCTTGTCCAAATTTAACCCAAGTGTAAAGGATGTAGGGAGAGGGGGGTTTGGGGTGTTTGTGGCCCCAGTGGTCTCCAGTTCTAATTACATTGGGTTGGTGACTACAAAGGGATTTTATTTTCACCTCTGTCCCTAATACTGGTCATTAACTCTGTTTTATTGGTTAAAGAGGTTTTTTTTTTTCCATAAGCAATTTTTGCACTGTAGGTGAACAGAGAGGCAGTGTATTACTGAAAAACAGTTGTCTATCCACTCTACCTCGGGGCTGCAAGATAAAAACCTTAAGTTGATTTATTTCTTCCCTCTTTGAGAATCACATTAAGAAGCAAGTATCTATGAGTAGGTAATTGGGGAAAAAATACAGTTCCAGGGATGATTCACTGGTGTTACGTTAGATGAGTGAAAGCTTATTCTGGTCAGCAAAGTTGATAGGTATTCTGTGATGATGTGTAGTTGCGTCAGTTGCTCTGAGGAGCACTGGACTCTTCTTTCTGGCAGATGGCCTTGACCATGTTTCCTTAGTATAGCTTGGTTGACCTCCATGGTTTTTTCCCCTGTTTTGGGGGTACCTGATGACAAAAACATTTATTTTTGAGAGAGATTATCCTAACAGTTGCAGGGCACTCTGATCACAATGCACAAGTGCATGAATAAAAGAACTGTACAAGCATTTGAGTTTTGCTCTTTCATTTTTCAGACAGTGTGCCTTAGCAGCGCTGAATGACGTCCGGCAGTACCTCAGTGAAGAAAACGGGCACGTGGCTGTAAGTTTCTTGTTGGAGTTGCATTCTTCAGCTGCTTCCCTACAAAACAGTGTGTCTGCTGGATAATGCACAGCCTGAGCCATTTCAGTATCTTCAGTATATGGTTTGATTTTTTTCTGTGGGAGTTGGATGTTACATCTGCCTTGTTGCTGCAGAGAAAGTTCAGGGAGGTGATGCCGTACTGAGTAACAACCTTTGTGATTTGAAGGGCTCAATGAGAGAGGGTAACACACAGGAAGATGTCCTCCTTCTCTGCACATTGTATCACTCTCAAAAGGAGCGTGAGCAGCAGGTCAAAGGAGCTGATCCTGCCCCTCTACTCTGCTCTTGTGAGACCTCACCTGGAGCATTGTGTGCAGTTCTGGTGTCCTCAACATAAAAAGGACATGGAACTGTTGGAACAAGTCCAGAGGAGGCCACAAGGATGATCAGGGACTGGAGCACCTCCTGTATGGAGACAGGGTGAGAAAGTTGGGGCTGTTCTGCGTGGAGACCTCATAGCAGCCTTCCAGTATGTGAAGGGGGCCTATAGGGATGCTGGGGAGGAACTCTTCATTAGGGACTGTAGTGACAGGACAAGGGGTAACGGGTTAAAACTTAAACAGGGGAAGTTTAGATTGGATATAAGGAGGAAATTCTTTCCTGTTAGGGTGGTGAGGCACTGGAATGGGTTGCCCAGGGAGGTTGTCAATGCTCCATCCCTGGCAGTGTTCAGGGCCAGGTTGGACAGAGCCTTGGGTGAGATGGTTTAGTGTGAGGTGTCCCTGCCCATGGCAGGGGGGTTGGAACTGGATGATCTTAAGGTCCTTTCCAACTCTTAACTATTCTATGATTCTACGTGCTGTTAAACATATCTCTTGTTTTAGTTGCACTTCTGTTTCTATTTGCAAGTCTAGCCTTTCAAGTGAAAGGTACTTACTGAACAAAAAGCATCCTGGGTATTGCTTGGCAATTTTGTTCCCAACATGAGAAATCTCTGAGGAGAGCAGGAGAAACTCAAATTGCTGCATATCTGTATTTAATATTGGGATGCAAACCAGCAGCTGTTCAATTATTGATATGGCATATTCCCATTAATTTGCATAACACTCTTTTCCTTGAGACTGCTGGTGCAGCTCTGGTGTTTTCATTAGTTAATCAGGGAAAACCATGAAGTAATAATTATAAGTTGTGCTGGGGGCATGAGGTAAACTATGCTTCGGCAAACCTCATGGTTTGGTAAAACACTGGTGTGTTCACGGCCAGACATTGGTTCCTGCAAAATTGGCTGCATTTATCTTATAGTCCATGGGCAGGCTTTACAAGTCTTGCAGATCTTAGAATCATAGATCAGTTAGGGTTGGAAAGGACCTTAAGATCATCCAGTTCCAACCCCCATGCCATGGGCAGGGACACCTCACACTAAACCATGTCATCTTCTGCCACTTAAAAGCTTTATACTTGCAGTTTGAATAGCATGTTGATTGCAGCAGCTTTTTTTTCTGTAGTGTAAGTTTGCTAAAAACCCAGGGATTAGTATTTAATGCAGGTATGGGTCAGGAGGGAGCTTTTGTCCTACTGTGGGTTAGGCTTAAATTGTGGTTGCTTCTTCCAAATACAGTCTTCAGCTGGTAGTGCTTTCAAAATATTCCTGCTTTTTAGTGTTTAGAGAATCAAGGGTGGAAAGTAGGAGTGTCATCTCTTTGCCTCTTGAGCATGTTGAGAGAGGGGAAAGGGGAAGTGTTTCGTGGCTTCTCTTCGCATTGAGGGACTTTGAACCCTTGGTTTTGTTGTTACTAGCACAGTGCTTTTCACAGGCTAGGCTATTCCTTTAATTCTTCTTTCTCGCTCTCCCTGTAATTATTTCCAGGTCTTTGATGCCACAAACACCACCCGAGAACGCAGAGAAACTATTTACAAATTTGGTGAAGAAAATGGCTATAAGGTGAGTTGAAAGCCAAGGAGCAATGAGCTAACACCTGGACAAGTAAGGCAGGGGTAGTTTTGCCCTTATCCCCAAGTACTCCGGGTTAAGAAGTGCATTAGCATAAGCCATGTCCTTCCTAGGTGTATAGTCAGTGGTACATTTTGTGTTCTCAAGCATTGTTTGTGATTAAAACTCACCCAGTCCTCATTTTTCTTGTCTTTAATGTTTGTCCTGTTAGTAACTAAGCTCTTACATGCTGTGGCTTCAATTCTTTCATCCTGGACCTGTAGCTCTGAATGTACTGTCAGCAAGAGCTATTTAAAATAAGATTCTTAGTGCGGTCCATGGTTTTGCTACAGAAAACATAAGGAATTCTGTGTTAGTTCTGTGCAAACAAAAAACTTCCCGTGGTTTAGTGCCTTCTGTCCAGGGTTGTTTTGTATTTAGCTCTTCCCCAGTAATCCTTCACTTCCTCTAAACCTGTATCTCCATAAACCTTTGAGACAGCAAACCACAGAAGTCTTTTTAAGTTGCGTTACTCCATTAGTTGACAGGCTTCCAAAATCTTATTGCAGAAACATCAGTTACTCTTTATACGTCTGAACTTGTATCCTCTGCATTTATTTTCTTCTCTTCCATCCTAAATGTTTCTCACTGTAAAATTTTTCCACTTACAAGCATTGTGAGGGGGGGGAATAATACAGAACATGATGCTTCAGGCAATGCTAAACCAGCAATTTCTGATGAGTGTCTGCAGAAACCTTCAGAGTAAATGAAGGGAAGTTTAACACATGGTTCTGCTAAAAAGGGGTCAGCATGGAAGTGAGTAACGTGCTGCTCGTGTGTGTTAGTCTCCAGGGGCATTCTAATGCATCTTCCTTGTTCCTTCCTCTCTACACGTGACTTCCCCTTTGGACTGAAGACTTTTTTTGTTGAGTCAGTATGTGTAGATCCAGAGGTCATCGCTGCAAACATTGTGGTAAGTATAGGAAAGTTGCTTTAACTGCTCTAAGTTAGGAGGTTAAAGGTAGTTCTGTGTGTTCAGAAGTACATTAAAAGAACTTCCAATAGCAAAAACCCTATTAGCTCCCATTAATGGAACAATTCACATTTATTTTCCTGTTCTTGTGTATAATAACTCAAGTTTATGAAAAATAGCTCTTTTTGCTATGCATGTATTTTAATTATCTTCCAGGATACAAGGTTTTTGTGCTGTGTTCTCCCCTTTCCTATTTATTTAAACATTGCATTAAAAAGGGAAAGAAATGTGCTACCCTCCTGGTTTTATTTCAAACAGCAAGTGAAGCTGGGTAGTCCTGACTATGTTGATTGTAGTAACGATGAAGCAACAGAAGACTTCATGAAGAGAATAGAGTGCTACAAGAACTCCTATGAGACGTTAGATGAAACTCTTGACAAGTAAGTGATGAAATAATGCTGTGATCACAGCTGGGTCATCTTAAGATGTTTCCTTAGGGGATGGAGCATCCTGTATTGGGGATTAGGGCTTTATAGTAATTAATGGCTTAAGCTCTCTTTCCATTGGCAAATTGGGGAGAGTTTACTCTGGGGATGTAGCCTGGAACTTGCTTGCTTGAGGAAAATCGGCTAACACATCTACTCTGGGACAATATTCTTTTTGATTTCCCACTTGGAGAATGATATGATCCTTCTGGAACAGAACCAGCATTTAGGAATTACCCCAGGCTTCTTTTAGATCGGATCCTTACTTGGTTGTTTAGTTTGTAGAGGAGACCCGAGTGATTTGTAAGCATAACTTCGTTTGTTGGCATGGCTAAGATGAATTTTGAACACATCTATCTTGCAAATGGGATGCCTAAATTTATTTATTCGTGCTTGTAAAATATCCTGCAGATGTAGGGCTGTGAGAAAGTTTCTTAGCTTGGATTATTTGCCTTTGTGCCAAAGCATTCATCTGTTTTTCATTCGCTTTCAATGCTTGAAAGTAAGGTAGGGATGAACCACATGAGGAGGAGCCCTGTTTCTCTTGCTGGGGTCCAGGATTTCGGTGTGGGATGTTGAGCTGCATTCATACCAAGTGCTCCTGCTCTGTTTCAGGACCAGTGCTGTAGAGAAGGCTGAGCTGCATTTTAATGTAATTGAGCGTAAGCAGTGTGAAGCTGGTTCAATCGGATCAGTTCATGCATGTAATTTCTGTGATGGGCCTAATGCTTGTGCCTGGGTGAAATAGTAATGATTAACCTCAGAGAGCACTACTGGAGATAGGTGATGATGCTTGCTTCTCATCACCTCCATTTGGTTTTATTACCAGTTTCCTTGGTTTATTGTGGTCTCTGTCTCAAATGCTTCACTAGAAACCCATAATGGTTATTTTCAGCTCATTAGACCATTTTCCTCCTTTAAACTAGATGCTGCTCTGAAATGTACAGCTCAGATGAGCAGTGAAAATTGCAGTTACAACCTGTCTCGTGCTGAGAGGAGGTAGTGGTGGGGTACACTACAGTGCTGTTAATAAATAGATGTTGATAAAGTGTTTGAGAAAATGTCTTGTATCAGGCTGGTCCCAGCTCCTTCTGATGCTCTAGTTTTTCTAGAAGGATTAACAGAGGTGGTAAGTGATGACCATGCCTTTTGGCTCCCGGATGCCATCAAATACTTGCTGTGGGGGAAGTGTTTATAACCTGGAGAAAAATAGCTGGTATCGTGAAATACCTGGATCTCATATTGAAGCTACCACAGTCAAATGACTCCACTGAACCCTTCCTTCAGTGGGAGGGCTGTATTTTAACAAGAGCAGAACCTAGATTTGAGAGACAACACGCAAGTAAAGGGAACAGAAAAAGTGATGTGAGCAGCTCACCTGTGAAAGGAACAGAATTCATCCTGTACCTCTGGGGTACTGAGTTGTTTGTTAGGACTAATGCATATTCCATAGGTAATTGAGGGCTTGTTTATTGCTTTGGCTTGTTGCCTCTTTGTTTTATAATGGCAGAGATTGTGGTGCATGCTGATGGAAACTGGAATCTTACATATTTCTTTTTGTTTGCTCCTCCAAGGGATCTTTCTTACATTAAAATTATGGATGTTGGAAGGAGTTACCTTGTGAACCGAGTAATGGATCACATTCAGAGCCGGATTGTCTACTACCTCATGAATATCCATGTGACTCCTCGGTCAATCTACCTCTGTCGACACGGAGAAAGTGAACTCAATCTGAAAGGGAGAATAGGAGGAGATCCTGGACTGTCTGTTAGGGGAAAAGAGGTATGTACCTGCACAAGTGTGACTGGGTTTTTGTGTATCCTATGCATGTGTGCAGTTTGTGCTGTGTAATTACAGCTTTCTTCCTCTACAGCCCTTTCCTCTTAACATGCTTAAGAACGGTTTTAGTTGCATTTGCGAGTAGTAGAAAATGAATGGAAACACTTTGGGGGTTGTGAATTGGTACGTGCTCTTTTATCTGTCATTCTGTTGGTTGGAATTGGTTTTTATCCTACAGCCCAAAGCAGTTGTCAAGGCTTTATTTTTTTAACTGCATTCTTGTAAATGTTGGATAATTGGGAAGGTTCACAAGTTAAAGCTGAAAGGAAAATCCCTGATGATAAAGATAGGAACTGCAGAAAACTTGTATCTCCCTTGTTCTCTTTTCCTTCCCTCTCCTGTACCTCTTGTTGTAACAGAATGTGTTGCATTTCTTAGCCTTCTGGAAGGGTTATAATGAGTTTACAGAGCCCGGAGCCTGTGTGTTCCAAACTGAACAGAGCGTCTTGGCTCCGAGCCTCACCCCCTGCCTCATGTTTTTTCTTTCAGTTTGCCAAAAGTTTGGCACAATTTATTAATGAGCAAAATATCAAAGATTTGAAAGTTTGGACCAGCCAGATGAAAAGGACAATTCAGACTGCTGAAGCCTTGGGAGTGCCTTATGAGCAGTGGAAGGTGTTGAATGAGATAGATGCAGTAAGTTCTGGCTTTCGAAGCATGTTGTAAGTTGCTTGGCTTCCTAAAGATGAAGGAGCTACTGAGTTTTGGAATGATAGGGCTTTCATGGGACTGGAAGTCATTTAAGCTGTTTCTAGAGGTTGGAAAAATTGTTGTTACTTCCTGTTAGTAAGGCTGAGCATCCTATTAAATTTTGCCATAATTATTTCAGCCATAAACCAAGTGGTTTATGTTCCCCAGTGAAACATTCCAATGTAGAAGGCAGCGGTTTGGGTAGTTGGGGGGTTGTAAGGAGGAGCTTGCTAGTTGGCTCTTTCCAACTGCACCTGTAAGATACATAAGTAGGTGCAGTAGATAAAACGTGACCTTGCTCAGTGATTCACTTGCCCATATATGTGACTTCAATTTATATACAGACTTAATGATTCCTTTTATCCACGTGTGAGTCCAGTCCTGTTCATCATGTGTGTGATTTTGCCTTTAAATGTCAGAGTAACAAAATACAATTGGTAATGGTTATTTATATATGGTTTTATTTAAGAGTGAGATCTGCTTTTTGCACTGCTGGAAATACATGGTCTTAAATGATTTTTATTACGTATAGGGAGTGTGTGAAGAAATGACTTATGAAGAAATACAGGAAAATTATCCGCTTGAATTTGCACTGAGAGACCAAGACAAATACAGATACAGATACCCCAAAGGAGAGGTATGCTCCCTTTTCTCTCTTAAGGTGAAGGGCTTCCTTTGTCTTCCTCAATATATGCATGCTGGCTTTAGAAAGGAAAAATAGATCTTTAAATGAATGACAAGGTTGTTCCTCTCTCCAGGGGAAAGCACGTAGGAGATGGCAAGAATTGAGCCCAGACGGTTTAATTTGGTTCAGGATTGCCAAATGAAACAATAGATTTAGATAAAACAATGGAGAGCTTTGATCTTGTGGGCATTGTTTCTATGCTGGTCCCGCAGCGATAAAGCAGGAGGAATGATTGCAAGCCTTCAGACCGCTGCATATGTAAATGTACTGCCAAGATCACCTTTTCCTATTCATCCTCGCTGTGGGTAATGGCTGGTTTGCCCGCAGCGCTGGCTGAAGTGCAGGGAAATCTGCAGCCACGGTGGTCTTTCACTTTAAGAAACTCCTTGCCTCTGGGAAAACAACTGCTGACAGCATTTCTAAAGCAATGAACGCGTTACCTGCAGCAGTTACCAGGTGGCCACACGCCTTTCCGTGGCAGCTGAAGTTTAGGGTTCAGGGCAGAGGAGTAATTGGACCAACTGCTCCGCTGTTGTGTCCTGAGGAATCGGAGCTCCGTGGTCTTTCCTCAGTGGTCAAGAGTAATCACTGTGCTAAGAGCATCTTGTGATAAGAGTGGTGTGTCTGGGGCTGTGACCCTGCTCTCACTAATGAGGCAGTCATTAAGCTGCAAAGTTCTCCTAATCCATTTGAAGAGGGAGTGTTTGTTTTTCAGACTGATGCCATCCGGATGGTGACAAACATGTGGAGCTCCCTCATCGCCTTGGGGTGGTTGGTTGATGTCAGCCGTTTGGCTAAGGCGGTCCCTCTGTCACCAGTACCCATGGCTGGGCTTACACAGCCTGGCTGGAACAGGGTGCTGGGTTTCTCTTGCCAAGGTCTGGCTCAGCAGTGCCGCTTCCCAGCTGGGCAGCCCCACGCCTGTCTGGGGACCAGGGCGACGTGGTCATTCCCTGTCCTGCTGGGAGATGTGCTGTGCTCCCCATGTGTTCCATGCACCACGCATTTGGGCAGTGTTGTCTTTACAGGCATGTGAACGTTACCTTGGGCAGGAGCATGCTCCTGACGGGCAGGAGCAGATTTACTGTGTGTGAGCTGTGAGCAACAGGTCGCAAGAGGAGTCCTTTGGCTCTGGGTGGGAGGGTGGCTGCCATCCCCAGGCTAGGTCACCAGGCCCATAGCTTGTTTCCAAAGGGCAGCCTGAAGAAGTCAAGCTTTGTAGATTTCCTGTATGCTGACCGTAGGCTGGGTTCCCAGCTTTTTACTTAGAGAGATGATGCTTTTGAAGATGAGGTGTGGAAAATAACGTGCAAGACGTAACCTGTACACATGCAGGTGCTGTGAGTTGAATCCTAGGAGTTTTGTGGAATTTCTTAATCGTGGTGACTGATTTAATAAAGCTTTTCCGTGAGAGAGATTTATTTTGTTGTATGCTTGCTCTTTGATAGTCTGGAAAACCTGGACTGTGTCCTTAATGTAAGGAAAACTATTGCAACAATATTTGTCTGTGTGCTAATAGAAGATTACTAATGTGAAAGTAAGATCCGCTGTATATACATACCCTGTTCAAAGAGTTTTCCCTTTTTAATGGGCTGTGTGTTTCTCTTCCCCACCCAGTCCTATGAAGATCTTGTCCAGAGACTGGAGCCAGTAATTATGGAACTTGAAAGGCAGGAAAATGTGCTTGTCATATGTCACCAAGCTGTCATGCGCTGTTTGCTTGCATATTTTCTTGACAAGCCTGCAGGTAAATCTTTAATACATGACAAATGGTCTGTTCTTTGAAAAAATGGTACTGATGAAGGCTCCAGACAGTAAATTCTAACGATGTTCTTTCTCATCAGAGGGCGTTTGTGCTAGGCAAGTGTGCAAATGTCACTTTTTCTACCTGACCCCCATGGAAAACTTGGCTAGTTGATCTTTATTGAGCTTCTCACCTGCAACAGCACTGTGGTGTTCAGTTTTTGCTCCATTTGAGTAGCTTTCTGTTGCATGCTAGGGAAGAAGGCGGGTTACTGACAGATAAGAAGGCATTCAAGTGGTTGATCTGCACCATAATAGGAAAGTTACTGTTCTTGTAATCTCTGTTTCATATGTAATTTGTTCCTTGTTTTCCCAGAACAACTGCCTTACCTGAAGTGCCCACTGCATACTGTCTTAAAGCTAACCCCGGTGGCTTATGGTGAGTAGTATTAAGTATATCTAAATCTAACTTTACTCTGTAAAGTTTGTGAAGCATTTAAATGAAGAGCTTTTATATTTATTCTGCTTTAATGTAGAATTGAAAGTTAAGTTTGATACTGCATTTATGCCTGTAGAGCTTTGTTAGAATCAGTGAATCCTTGGGTTTACATTCGCTTTGTGTTATTTCATTAATTCTTCTGGCAAACTCCTGCTGTTTACGCAGTCAGGTCCAGGAAGGTCTCAGTTTGTGTTGATGTGTTTGAGGGTGTTGCTTTTTAGAGCAGGCAGATTTACATTTATGTATGGTTATCACCTTACAAAGGTGTTCCCCTTACCCCTAAACGACTTTTGTTCTCTTTTCAAGTGTGTTTTTGGTGGACCTTCACACTACCACGTGAATTTAGTGCTGTGGTTGGCATTCCTCAGACCCTGTTTATCAGTGCATAGCTCAGGGGCTTTAACTGAGGTTTGCTGCCAGCCTGGGGGGTTACAACCTGTGCTACTTGGGTTTTAGGCTGATTGCTAATTGCCTTTTGTGTTTTCAGCCTCAGCTTGACATGTGCCTGCTGTTAATGTCTTGAAGTGTTGGGCTTAATTACATCTTCTGATACCTCATCACACTTCAGAAGATTATTTATAGGCAAATCTGCGCAGGAAATGGGTTACCAAAGATGCTAATCGAGGTGTTGGTCGGAGATGCAAAGCTGTCTTTGATTATCTCCTTTGAAAGCAGTCTAGAGCTGTACTTCTTTAAGTTTCAAATACAGTTGAGGTAAAGAAAGGAGCCCTTACCACTGGGAAATCTACCTGAAGAGATGGTTGTGATTTAACTGTTGTGTTGTCCTGCTGTGCTCTGGTGACATCTGGTGTTTCCAGCCTTGCATGACACGCTGAAGGTCTGAAAGGAGGGCTCAGAACAGCTGAGTGTTTTGGTTTTGGAAAGGGGATCTTCTTGACTCGCTCGTCTTGGGCTGTGTGAAGAGATCCTGGATGTTTGCAGTTTACACGCACACTGAATGGAGGGGAAGAAGTGGTATGGAATACTGCCCATGTCCTTCTGCCCTCAGTGGAAGAAGCTGTTCATTTTTAAAGTGTTCATACGTATGTCTGGATTAGCACATTTCAGACCACCCACTTCTTGGGATTTGACCATCTGAAAAGGCAATGGCTGTGGAAACCATTTATACATTAATAATCTAGAACATTATTTCATGTTGATGTATGACTTGGCTCCAGTGAGGCAGGATGCAGGATCAAACGTGGTGTGTTTAGTACCTTCCAGCTAATCCTGTTCTGGGGTAACGCTTCCTTCCCTTAGGGGTTTGCTCTTCCTGGTGTCTGATCTTTAGTAAAGGAACATCTGTTACAGCCTGACAGTTGGATTAGGATAAAGTAGACTTTTATCCAGCAACCCAGTATAGCGGTGGTCTGTGTGGGAGCACACAGGAAAGAGAAACTGTCTTGCTGTAGGCATGAGCTTGTACGTGGGTAATTCCAAAAGAGCTGGGAATATGCACATTGTAGTTACTGTGCAGTGACTCGGGTCCCTTCAGTTTGTATCTAAAGCTTTCCATACAATACTTTTTCAGGTCTTGCACTCAGCTAGTGGTAAGGACTGAGTGGCCTCTATGGAGGTGTGTCTGGTGTGTAACCAGCCAGTCCTCAGCAATGGTCAGCATCAGCTAGGTTTTCCTTGGTCTCAAGGGTTGCAGTGATCTGTGAGCAGCAGGATGAGTGGAGGACTCTTCCAGTGGGAGATGTGCACTTTTCCTCCTTAAAACCTGTTTTGTGGTTGCTTATTTTTCTGAGTCCTGGCCTTCCTGCAGAGTTTGCTCACAGTGTTCCTGACTAATGGGGTTTTTCAGAATAGGCTTCCCTAAGGGAAGGCAAGTGTTTGCTTTGCTAATGGATATTATTTTGGTTTTGAGTGCAGTGGCTTTCTAAGGAAAGGGTAAAATCACCCTATTTTGTCACGTAGTAATTCTGTGAAGTGTGTGACTGCCTTTAGGAGATAACAGAAACCTCTGAAAATCTATTTGTGATAGAAGTTGTCAGAGGAATTCGACTATTAGTATGTAGGGTACTGCTAGCTTATAAAAGTCACATTTGTGTCAGGTAAGACAGTGTTTGGCAATTAGGTGCTGTTTAAAATGGTGTGGTCACAGCGTATTGAGTAACTAATTCCCTATGTGAGTCAGTTTATACCACCTGAGTAGCAGTTGTCTCTTCTGAGGGATTAATTTCTCCTGCTTCTTTGGAGATTTCCATTTTTGGGTGGAAAGGAGAAGTTCCTTTTCAGAGGTCAGCTTTCAAGGTCCATTTCTTTGGGGGTTAAAACTGTTTTGCCTGCATAGAGGAATGGGGGTAGCTAACAATAGGCAGTAATCCTCGTCATCAGGTTTCATGTTTTAAACACTGAGAGCTGCAGTTATCTCATGTGTTACAGTGAAATTCTAAGAAGCCTGGGATGTTTAAAACCGAAGTTAAAAGTAACTTTCTGACTGCTGTTGTTCAGGTGCGTTTATAAACGAGAACCTGTTTCAGAGAAAACACTGATAAAGCTAAGGTGAGAGTAGGAGGGGGATTATCAGATTGCAGAGATGTTCATCCTGGTGGAACAGATTAGTTTTCAATAGCTTTAGCTCTTTGGCATTTGGGAATTGTGCTGTCAGTCAGCAGTGGGAAGTGATTAACCTTCCCCAACTCAAAACTAGATCGTGTCTTACTGTAATTTCATTTTTAAAGCTGACCAACTCTAAACCTGTCTTTTCTACCAACAGGATGTAAAGTAGAATCTATATTTCTGAATGTTGAAGCTGTAAACACGCACAGAGATAAACCCGAGGTAAGACTATTTCAGAATCGGAGGCCTTGATGTGATGTACTGCCTGAGCTCATTCCCGTTGTCCTTGTGCTGGGAAATGACGTGATAACTCAGCTGAGCATATTTGGTTTTATGTATTACTCTTCACTACTGGTTTGCTGTTGAAGAGGAAAAGAATCCTTTTTATTGAGCACATTTATCTTGCATATGAGCTCTAGCGGGAGTAGTTTATCTTCAAAAATGAATGAGAGGTTGAAGATACGGTGTCAATCTGAAAGCTGTGTAAAGTTCTTCCTGGCTTTTGTCATTCAGCAGCAGGAGGGTGTAGTCAGAAAGTCACTGTTAGGAATGCGATGCTTCTATTGGAGAGAGTAAATAATGAAATTAGCTTTTTCATCACTGTGGTCGTTGATGTATGAAGAAAGAGGAATTGATGGTACCACCTGGAGGGGAAGACTAGATCTTGGGATACAGCAGAAAACTGGGGAAAAGGAAATTGAATGCATTTGTAAAATAGAAGTGGAGATAAGATATCATACCGTGGCAGCTTTGTCCTTTCCCTGTGTCAGGCCTAGGTTCTGTGTACTCCTAAGCTTTGACATGAGCTTAAGTTCATTCTGTTGCTGGCACAAAGCTCTTCCAGCGCTGTGTTACGGAAGTTATGTGAATTGTGTCATGATTAAGAATGTCTGGCTCCCTTGTAGATGCTCATGCTAATGCTGCTGGGTATGGCACTGTTTCCCTGCTGAGGCTATGAGCTGTGCCTGCAGGTGAATTACATCAGCTTGATAAAAAAGGGCTATTTGTGGTGGTTTTCAGAACAATGGTTTATGGTGAAAAGGAATATAGTGATCAGTGTGTTATGTGTGTATTCAGTAAGGCACCTTATGTCTTAGGTGAGGAATTCATGCTCTGCAGAGAAGGTTTGTTTTAGTGACTTGGATATTGAGTTCTGAAGATGCTGACTTTTGGTGGTTCGTAGCCAAGCCATTTTCTATTAGGTAGTCATAGCGTGTATTTCCAGTCTCGTCCCCTTTCACCTTTGTCATGCTGCTTTACCACTTCTGTATGAGTTTGGTTTGTTAGGTACAGGCAATCCATTCCACACTGCCTGAAAGCTGTTGGAGAAGCACGGTGAAAATAACAAGGGTGTCTTGGAGCAAGTGTTAATGCAGATCAGTTGAGCGGCTTCAGTTTGGCTGATAAAACATGGGTGCTGAGTTTGGACCTTGCTAAAGCATTCTGGGAATTGCTGTTGGAAATACCACTTGTATAACTGAAGATGCTTATTTCAAGGGGGAAAGGCGTGCCTGAATCACCAAGTGCTCTTAAACGTCTAGCAAGTGGCAGGGCCATACTGACGTAGCCGTTGAGTGGCTGCGATTGAGGTGCGTGTAGAGGATTGTGCAGATAGTTGCATTGCAGTGGATGTAAAGACAGAACTGTTTAATTTGAAGAGAAATAACCTGAGTTAATGAATTTTTACAAAGAAAGGAGCAGAAGCATTTTTGATGTAAAAACCCCCAAACCTTCACACACTCTTCTCCCTCTGCCCCAGAAGAAAGGCAGAGCAGTGAAGTATGTGTATTCCGTGGGGCAGAATGAAGGACTAAGTTGATCCTGTCTGCGTTTAAATGCTGCTTGGAGCATGAGGAAGATTTCAAGAGCTTTCATTAACATCACCTACAAAACCATTAATTGCTTCTGTAAAATTAAGTTTTCAAACAGTCTATTGAACCCAAAGCGTTTAATGAAATCCAGCGCCACAGATAACACCACCATTGAACAGTGGAACTGTTTGAACCAGAATTGCCCAGTGTGCTGTTCTGTGCCCCCACAAGTGATTTGCAGTCTGTGTTTCGGAGCAGCACACTCCTTTTTGGCTTCAGCTGAAAGCATCTGTTTTCACATTGCAGAAGTGCAATGCAGAGAAGCCCTGGAGTATTTGTTTATAGCATGTGTGAAGTTCATTGTTTGAAGAGGATTTGTCTGAAGTGGTTTGAAGCCTTGTGTCTGTCAGCGTTGTAGTGGCTGAAGCTCCTGACCTTTCCAAATGAAGGAATCTGTAGTCTGTTTGTAATAATTGAGGGCAATTACTTCAGCTATTGCTTCAATCCTTTGGGGGGAAAACAAGCACTGGATGAAATGTCTACTTTGCACCTCAGTCAGTGACAGGGTGGGGAGATGGAGAGGGAGGTTGCTTGTAGTAGAAGCTGAGATCTCCTTTTTGATTACGTGTGGGAGAAGGGGAGAGGAAGATGTTAGTGAAAGGTGAGTTTGCTTCCACAGTGTGAGGTAAGTAAGAGTCACAGAGCCCATCGGCTTTCTTGTGAGACCTCACCTGGAGCATTGTGTGCAGTTCTGGTGTCCTTAACATAAAAAGGACATGGAACTGTTGGAACAAGTCCAGAGGAGGCCACGAGGATGATCAGGGACTGGAGCACCTCCTGTATGAAGACAGGGTGAGGAAGTTGGGGCTGTTCAGCCTGGAGAAGAGAAGGCTGCGTGGAGACCTCAGAGCAGCCTTCCAGTATCTGAAGGGGGCCTATAGGGATGCTGGGGAGGGACTCTTCATTAGGGACTGTAGTGACAGGACAAGGGGTAACGGGTTAAAACTTAAACAGGGGAAGTTTAGATTGGATCTAAGGAGGAAATTCTTTCCTGTGAGGGTGGTGAGGCACTGGAATGGGTTGCCCAGGGAGGTTGTGAATGCTCCATCCCTGGCAGTGTTCAAGGCCAGGCTGGATGAGGCCTTGGGTGAGATGGTTTAGTGTGAGGTGTCCCTGCCCATGGCAGGGGGGTTGGAACTGGATATCTTAAGGTCCTTTCCAACCCTGACTATTCTGTGATTCTAAAGTTTGAAGAATTGGCAGTGATTTGGCCTAAACTTGGCCAAATCTTAGCTCCAGATCTTGTAAAGAACCCTGAACACTTTCCCATAGTCTGTGTTGTTGGTACAGGGGGAGTGCTGAGTGCACGGGCCCTGGGACTTGCCCGAGGTGGTACATGGCAGGCGTGATTCCTGAGCCTGGTCCCGCACGGCTGCCCCTTCGCAGCGTGAGGGTTTGGCTGGGCTGGTGCTTTGGGTTGGGTTGGGTTTGAATAATCTGCTGCATTCCATGTAATTTGTTCCCCCGGCCTTGTGCAATGAGGTGAGGTCCGGTCGGTGTGGTCAGTCCTGACTGGTTTGGGTGTCTGGGAGGAGGATTTTCTGCATTGTCAGGGGTGCTGCATTGACTATAACCCAGACAAATGTGGAAGCCTTCTCCTGGGAAAGAAGTCCATGGCATAGTTCAGCTAAGAGCTGAGAGATGCTTAATGGACAGACGCGTGTGTGCTGCAGCGTGTGCTTGAGTGGATTCCTGCTGTGGCCTGTCCAAGGCTTCCCCCTAAATGGGAATTACCTGAGCTTTTGATAATGTTACCAGCATGGGATCCATGAGTACTGCAAATAAGCCTTCCTGCTGTCTGGTTCTGGGACACGGACCAGCTGCTGCTCTGCCGCATTCTTGGGGTGCGGGGGCTCGAAAACAGTCTCTGTTTTACATGAATGCAGCCGTGTGCTTGTGGAGAAATCTGAGTGGGTTTTGTTCTCTTTCTGCTGCATGATAAATGTTCTCCTCTGTGTTTTTATTATTACACAGAATGTAGAAATATCCAGACCTCCCGAGGACGCTCTTGTAACAGTCCCTGCTCATCAGTGAATCCCGTGTGCTGACCAACTGTCGAACTTGGGGTGCTGTTTCCATCCTGCTACTTCAAAATACAATGAAAACCCAATCATTCCAATCACTTTGAAATAAAAAGCCCTCCCCAAAGCCGGCAACTCAGACCCCAAACCAGACCTTTGCATAGTGCATGGCTTGAAGAAAATGACCAAATCCCAATAAATTCGTTGCACTGGTTAATTTATTGTGGGTGAGTTCTCAAAGGCTGATCGGCTGTTCTTGTAAATTGCTGTGATTTAAAGATCCTGCAGCACGAAGTTCTGTTGTAACAGCCAGCAGTCATTTAATGTTGGTTGCAGCGGGCTCATTTATGAAAGCCACGAAACACAACATCCTGTGTGAGATAAGAAAAAGTTGAAGTTTGCTTTCCACGCATCCCCTGTTCCCTATTTCAGTGTCATTGGGAGTGATTGGGCTGCTATCTAGCGTAACATAACAATCCATAGTAACTCTAAACCCTTAATCCTGCTGATCTATAGTGCTAGTGCTCTAGATGTGCTAATCAATGATGTGTTGTTTGAAGAGGGTAGCAAGTTTTCACTTAGCTCCAGAACAATTACTCATGATACAGGAATGCATATAAATGCTTTTAATACATGACTTTTCTCAACAGCTGCTCTGCATTAACTGGGCCTTAGGGTTTGCCTGCTGGCAAACCTGCTTCTGAAGTTCCTTTTTTCCTGCTTCTTGCGTGGATGTGGGTCACGGACAAGTTTTTACAGCTCTGCTCCATGTGCTTTGTAACCAGATCTTACCTAGGCTGCGGTCTGCAGTGTTGAGCGTTCCAGAGCATGGAAGTGGAGTTAACCTGGTGGTTTGGTAGCTGGGTTGTGACTGCAGTGGGCGTGGGATCTCAGACCATCAGGGTTTGCAGCCTTAACTGCCTTACAGCAAAATAGGCTGGAGGAGGCTGCAGCCTGTCTGAGGTGTGGTGCTGTGCCTTGGCTCCTTTCCCCGTGATGCTGCAGTGGATGACATGGGGTGTCGGGAGGCATCTGTGCCATTGAAAGCCATTCCCTTTCTGGGAAGGGCAGGCAATCGCCAGCCCTGGAACTGTTTTCTGAGGGGGTCTTTTAGTGTTGGCAGTAAGCAGGAGTGCAGTGCTGTGCTGTGGAATGCTCTTAGCTGCTGGGTTTCTCAGGTGGTATCTTCTTCCAAACCGGGGATTTTGGGGGAAAAAGAAGTGTCACAGACCTGACACTGAAGGGTTTGGAGGGTTGTAGCAGTTGGGAATGCCCGATAGAACCAAATAACCTCCTGGCCAGAGAACTTCCTGCTTGGTATTGAGTCAAACCAGTGCCCCAGGATGGGTTGGGACTGGGGGGAGCCCAGGTTGTTTTCCTTTCTCTGTCATCTCTGACCGTGGCACAGGAGTGTGGTGGCACTTTTCCATGTTTAATTGTCCCAGCCTCTTGGCACGTGCTTTGCTTTGCCATGAAAAGTGCCAGAGAGGAGGAGCTCTGTGCCTGCCGTACCCACTTGCACATGGTAACTGCCGAGTCTGCCTTTACCTGATGTGATTGAGGTGATGTGCCAGAAAGGTCACAGGGATACTGGCACAGCCAGGTACTAAGAACCTGCGCCATCCAGCTCAGGGTGCTGCTACCTCTGTTGGCCACAACTAAGGGAATACCGCGCACATGTGGACTAAACGTAACTGCGTTATTGATGGAGCCAAAATGTGGGCAGGCATCTGCTGTGGAAAAAAGGTTTTACTGCTTGTGAAAGGATGGCTTGGGTTGCTGCAGGAAAAGGAGGGGGAAGGTGGAAGGGGCAGGAACTTGGCTGGACCTGCTGTGTGGCCAGCAGAGGTTGTGGAAAGAGGGGAAGCAGCCGAAGTGCCCAGGAGCCTCCATCCTTCCAAGTTTGCTGGGCAGCGGCTGGGTGTTCTCTTTGCTGGGCATACTGCTCGTTGTACTGGTGTATGCAGCACAGTGAAGCGGGTATTGAAGGCAGTTTTGTGCCCCAAGGGGTCTCTGAGTACAGCAGGATTGCTTAATAGTGCTCTCTGGCTTGTTTCCTTAGTAAAAGAAGGGCTTGATGCCGGGTCGGAAGCGGCTGTGGCAGTTTGTGGCACGGCTTGCTGGGAGAAAGCTGGCTGAGCGCTGGGTTGTTGGTAATGCGCTGTTTATTTCTGTGCCTGCCTTAGTCCTTGTCCCTAGAGCCTCCTCCTTCTCCCCAGAGGAGCCTTCCTGCAACATCTCCCTGTTGTGCTGTGGATTGCATGTAGCTACTCAGACCAACACTGAAAGGGCAGGCTCTGCCCTGTTGGGAATTCCACGGTGCGTTGTGTCTGGGGGAGTCTCGGTCCTGTGGGATGAAAGCGTACAAAGCAGGGAGGGGGACAGTGAGGAGGGCTGGCACAAGAGTGCGTTTCAGTTAATCTGCGTGGCTGGAGTCTTTCCAGGGAGGACTGGGTGAGGTGGACCCGTGTGCAAGGCAGGGTGGGAGCGCTCCTGCCCTGGGGAGCACTGGAAGCAGCAAGCCCCTGCCCGGTCCCAGTCCATGTGCCTTGGTAGAAGTAGTGTTGGACCAAGGTGTGTGTTGGCTTTATTCCCACTCCTGTCTTGCCCGGGCTCTCCACATGGTGTTGCTGATGTGTGGCAGTGGCATTCCCAGGGGGTGGTTTTGCCCTGCTGTGCTTGGTAGGATGGTGCCGAGCACCTGCAGGGGCACCTTTTGGTCCCCACAGTAAGGCTGAAACCTCGGTCACCTTTCTCAGCAGCAGCACTGTTCTCCTGGCACAGCTTTTCCCTCTCTGTGCCCACAGCTGTTCTGGAAGCAGGAACAATCCCGGCTGCCATCATCTCATTTAATGTGATTCCCATGAGAAGAAATCCATTTACCACTAAGGAGGATTTTGGTCCCTTTCTGAGCCTCAGCCCATCTGGTCTTGCAGTGAGGTGTTCTCTTTGTGTAAGAAGCCCATGGGTGTCTTTATTAGGGTTTATCCCGGAGTTTCCTTTCTTCAGTGTGACATTCCAATGTGCTTTGCTTCTCCAGCCTCTTCTCCTTCGCATCTACTCAAATTGAAGCACTTTCTTGTTTTCAGCTTTCTTGACTGCCTGCTGATATCCCCTCTTGGTTCTGTGCTGTTTGCCAAGATGCTGCTTTTGTCTGATACATCTCATTAACTTAAATAAGCTGTATCTTCTGCCTTGTCTTGACCACCTTGTTTGCTTTAGCTTCATGTTAACAGCTGTCTAGTTCTCGCTGCTCGTGGACTGGTTTCCAGCACCCCTGGATTCCTGCATATCGATGCTCCATTTCATGCTCCATTTGATTTTCTTTGAATCAGCATCAGGTGCTCACCTTAAGAGTGCAGCCGAGACATCTCCACAGTCCCAAGGAATTTCTGGGCACCTTGCATCAGTTGCTAAGAAAAATACAGAAAGAAGCAACAAATGCCACCGTGTTTTGTTGGGTTTTTCTTTGTATCCTGCAGAATGTGCCTTGTTTCGCCGACTCCTCATGTTCCTAAATGGTGCCGCTTTCTGTGTGTCCTTTGCTGCAGAGGAGATGCTGCCTGTACCATTGCTTTTCCTCCCTTCCAAGAGGGAAGTCGGAGGGGGTCGGGCAGTGTGCTGGTGGGTGCAGAGATTTCCTGGACTTGGCTGACACTGTGCGTGTTCTCAGAAGCCTTGTGTGTGTGTTGGTGCTGGAAACCAGCATGGTTTACCCAAGGGCCTGGAGGCTGATGAGAAAAGAAAGGGCTGGCAGTAATGAAGGAGAATTGCTACCGGCAGAAGGGATGTTGGCACGCTTCAGCCTCCACGTCAGATCTGGTGCTGCTTGTTTGTCTCCTGTCGTAGGAGGTGGGCTTGGGGAGGGGAATGACTTGGTTTTTGAGCTGATGGAGCTGTGTGTATGCTCCCGAGTGTGTATGCTGAGACCCCCCCCCCCCCCCCCCCCGTGTGCTAGTGGGGCTCTCCTTCTCCACCGGTCGCACTGAAGAGAATTGTTTTCAAAGCAAACTCTAATAAATGTGGTTCTAAACCACAGAAACACAATCTGATGTCAGTGTGAGAGCTGCCCACGTGCCTGGGTACCCTGAAACGCAGTTCAACTTCATGTTACCAGCTCTTTAGGGAGTTACTCAGAGTCATTCCAGTGCCATAGCTGCATACAGACAGGATGAGAATCGGCTTTATAGCTGGTGGTGTTCAGGAGGAATTTCCTGGCGTGTGCTTGAAACAAGGAGGGATGGGCTTCCCTCCCTCCTCATTTTATCAGTTCTTGTGTGCTTTGTGGCTTCTGCGGCATGGTTCTGGTTTTTCTTACGCTGAATGCATAAAGGCTGGAAGAGTGGTTCAAAACAGGGGTTAAAGAAACAAAGTCTTAAACCCCCATAGCCCTGTGAGCTGTGTATGGTGCACAGAGCCCGATTGTCCCACCAGGCTGCTCCCGGGATGCGTGTCTCGGAGCTGCTTTGTCACTGGCAGCAAAGCAGCTGCCTTCAGGCATCAGAGGGACCTGGACTGTGGTGGTACAAGACCTGCTCCTGGCTTCTGTGTGCTCACGGCCTGGGACCTTGTGGTTTAGCCCACATTTTGAGGAAATCAGCATTAAAACTCGCTCCCCTTTTGCCTTGTGCCATAGCTGTGTTAAAGTGAAACTACAGCCGACTACGTGGGCCTTGCTTTAAAGCCTTTTTGTCTTTCATTTGCAGAATGTTGGTGTGGATCGGTCAAGAGAAGAAGCTTTGAGGACAGTGCCCAACCACCTATAGCTCCAGTTCCCAGGGGGGCCACCCTTCCTCCAGTGAAAGAGTGGGAATAGCAGCTCAGGTCCAGGAGGATGGGGAAGGTTTTGCTGAGTGGGCTGGAACCAACGCGCCTCCCCTTCACTTGAAGACATTTGGGATGTGATTCGGCTTCTTTGGAGCAAACCTGTAGTTGTGGATAACTCCCAGTGCCCAAAGGTATCAGTGAAAAGAGTGATGGGAAGCAGAGTTGGGTTTAGACTTTTTTGTATGTAGATTTGTGCCGTTTCAGTGTGGGGTTTTTATTGCTCATCGTGGACACTACGCGCTGGTTGGTGCCTGTGGCAGTTTTGCTGTCGGATTTTAATTAGATGCTACTTTCTTTTTTTTAAGTGTTTTTCTAAGAGTTCCTCTTATTTGTACTGTGAATGATTGCCTGGAATTACACAGGGATGTTGGCCGGTGTATTTACCGTAGGTGAAACTGTACATTTTGAGCATTGGAGGCTTCGTGTTGCACAACTGCTTTAAATGGGCAGCCCTGGTAGCTTTGTGTGCTCAGTTGAGCTTCAGTTTGCCAACCACAGCTTAAGTTTTCTGAAATGGGAGGCTTTCCCTTTGGGAAATAGAAGCATTAAAGCCGGATTTGCAGCCTGGAAGGTTCTGGTGTAGCGAAAAGTGAACGTTCTCCAGGGACCAGCTGTGTTCTGGAGGGCAGTGGAAGACAGTGGTAAGGGAGGGACGTGAGTGTGAGAACAGCTGGCAGCCTGGGCAGTAGATGGAGAGAGCAGCATCCTTTCTGCTGCAGTTACAGGAGGGGATGAGCAGCTTTTCCGAGGTGGGAAGAGGATTCAGGCGGTCAGGGGCTGGAGAAGCTGCTGCTTGTATCAGTGCTGTGATTTTTTATGTTATTTTAGGCCATTTTTGGAATCAAATCCAACATAAAAGTCTGTGTTTCTCTTTTATAGCCACGTTTATTATGTACGTCAGGAAACAGTACAAAAAGTTAGGTGGAGTTTAACCATTCTAACAGCTCATGCAAGAAAAGCACCAGGTAAATCCTGACAGTACTTTTAACGTGGCACACCTCCCTTGGGCTTTTAAATGTTGCTTTTAGGCTGCTTCTGCCATCCCAGTTCTCTGCTGCTCTTTTATACCTTGTGAAGCTCCAGTGCTAAAAATGGGATTTCCTGTGTCTGTCAAGGTGTATTTTGTACGCGTGTTACAGACAAGGGAGCTGCCAGCACCAGTGCTGGCTCTTAGTTCTGAACCAAGATTCGTTCTTTGGTAGTTGGACTGTGTTTTTAGTGAGGACTTCTCTTCAATTACCTGAGCTTTTGCCATGAATGTTGTTGGGGTTTGGCTGTTTCTTTTGCTTGATTCTCAGTTTCTGTGTGAAACAGCGGGCCCTGGTAATGTAGTGTTGCAGGCAAGGGCTAAAGGGTCGTTTGCTTGTGCAGGGTTTATAAAGTAACGTGCTGCTGTTGTGATTTTACTTTAATAAGCTCAATTCAGCAATGTATTCAGCTCTGGAAGTAAGCCATGCTGCATCGCTGGGCTCTGTTGCAGAAGAGGAAGGTGTAGGGTACAGAATGACCAGGAGCCCTTGCTTCGAGCGCTGCCGTCTGAAGCTTTGAGTGTGCGATCCCTTTGCAGATCTTCATTAATTCAGCTGTGTCTGTTATTGAGTGTGGAGAGAGACCACAGTGCTGCTTGGAGAAGTTAATTTATTGATGTGTAGTTAATGAGGCAGAAGTATAGCATTCCCCTTCCTGATCTGAGGTGCGTTCTGCTGTGCTCCACGCAGCCCTTGCACTCCCCCAGACCTTCACTGTCCAGCCGTGGCCAGGAGCTGTTAAACAGTTGTTGAATTGAGAAAGTCAGAGTTTATCTGTAGTTACAGAGGGCAGAGCCCAGGAGCTGTCTCGGCAATGTGGGTTTTACCTGCAGCCTGGGGGGGTACTTCCTTGAGCTGGGACCTGGTTGAAGAGATGCAGTGGGAGGAAAAGGTTTCCCCTAATGAGAGCTGAGCCCATGGCCCGCTTCTTTTCACTGGCAAGCACGGCTTGAGGTGTCTCCCCTTTCCCTGTCTTTGTTTTTACTTCTCTCAACTCCGAGGTGCTGTAAAATTCCTTGAGGCTAAATGTTTTATGTATGGTAGGTATTTTCATAGCCTGCTTTTGAATATACTGTGATGAATGTTTTACTAAACTGGGTGTTCAGTAAAAAAGAATTGTGTACAAGTGTAAATAAACTGTTGTGCTGATACTTGAAGAGGAAAAAAAGATTAATGACGTTGTCTGTTGTACATTAGGAAGGTGTTAAAGCCCTGGCTGCATCTGACCCTTTCTAGCTGGCAGGAGCAAGCGTAGACAATGAATGTAGGTTGGAAGTGAATGGTGGATCTCCCTGGGCCATAACCACCTTTTTGGAGAGGCACTGGTAGGAACTGGAGACTACTGTCACTGTCTCAAAGCAGAATACATCCCCCTCCTGACAGAGGAGGAGAAAACCCTTGTCCTGACTTTGTGTATTTGTACCCGTGTTTATTTTACTGCCTTCTGACTGTTAATGCCCTTGCTAGCTCAGATGCAGTCCTTTCAAACAGGACTGAACTGTCTTTTCTTACATTGTTGGCCTTCGTCATAACCTTTCAGACAAATGTAATCATTTGACCTTTGATCCAAGTAATAAAGATCAAATGCTATGACAAGTGCTGATGTGGGTTTCTTTCCATGTTCCTTTGTGGCAGCTGAAGTGCCAGGTGAGTGTTCCTGCAGGTCAGCAGCTTTCCACAGCTGTGGAGGAAGGAACTGGAGCCTGGTTAAGAGAGCTTACACATAAGCAGTAAGAATGAAGTTCACTTATCCCATTGCTTGCTTTACTCTGACAAATAATTTAAGTAACAGAGTCAGTAATTGAGGAGTAAGTTGAGAACGGTGTTGAGAAGCAAGGGACCTTGCTCCATCCTCGCTTTTAGGAGCTGACTGCAAGATGGGTTCTGCAGTAATTCATTAGTTTTTCTTTCTTATTAATGATTAAAAATCAAAATTCACACGTAGATATTGTGATGAAGCAGGATGTAGTTCTGTGCCTTTTTTACAGCTAGCGGAAGGAGCCACAGCTGCTGTGCTAGAAACAGGCAAACAGGGCTGGAACGAAGATTCTGTGCTTGGCAGTTCAGCAGTTCTCTCTGTCAGACTTGGGAAGTGGCAGCACAAGGTCATTACCTGACAGTCTTCTCCTGGTAAGATGCTGTGATCACAGGGCATGTTCCTGTTAACAGGAGGAACATTCAACATGTTCACAGGCAGCGTGCTCTGCCTGCTGTGGGATACTCAAGCTTATGCTGCCTTAAAGGTGTTGCATGATCAGTGAATCCTGACTCCACGCACTGACTGCTCTCAGTGAGACAGGCTTTACAAACGGGAGGGGTGGCACCGAGCTGTTCCCACACCATTTTCAGTGTCTGTGTTACTTTTATATGTGATCAGGGCTTGCAAAGTACTACTTTTTACTGTAATTTAAAGACAACTGGAGTCTAATTCTGTATTTCTAGAAAGAGACAAATACCATAAAACCATGTTTGAATGAAAGTTTGATGTAACTTTCTTTTAATTGAAGACAAATAAAAGAACTGAGGGCTCAAAACACTTTTTAAAAAGACATCTTCTGTTCCCCAGTGTCTTCTCTCGAGCAAAATATACAGCATATATATTATATATAACATAACTACATTCAAGTACCAAACACAATTTACATTTTCCCCAAATGGAGAAAATAATGCACATGATTCACATACCTTAAACCCAACCATGCATAAAGGAACACTGCCAATAAATCAGGAGCTGGACATAGTTAATCACACAGCTGTGTATTATTCTGAAGTATCGACAACATTGTTGGAGTGCACAACACTGAGCACTTGGGAGTCTTCGGTTTATAACCTTCAAATCTGCTTTAGAGTCCGACTGTTCAGAGACTTATTTGTCCAAGATCTGTTCAAATTTAGGGTTAATAAAAGAGAATCCATCAAATGCAGACTGATCCATGGACTCAATCAGGTTTTTGTCACTGTAAGACAGTTTTGGCTTCTCACTCAGAAATTCTCTGTCAAAGTTGGTGTAGTCGCTCGCTGACTTCTGTTAAACAGAGGGAAGACAGGTAAGTTTGAGACAAACTTTGAATTTCCTCCCAGAGCAAACTGCTTAAAAAAGAAAGGGCTGGAAGTTATTTCTTGAGTTCCCCCCTCTTTCCTCCCTGCCTTAATGGGAAAAAAAAAAGTCTCCTTTTTGCCTATTATAACACCACTGTAAGGCTGCAACCGGGCCATTGGTGATTATGAGTTGGAAATAAATAAATGGCAGCAGGTCAGTTTGGGGAAGAACCACCTGGATTTGTGATAATAACCTGAAGATTCTTTCTTTATTGACAAAAGCAATGCAGCAGTTAAATGCAAGCCCAATGTTCCTCGCCACTAACCCCATTCTTAAATTTCCCAATGCATTTCCTCTGCACTTGTTCAGAGAACAGAAGTGATGCCCCACAGCAGCTGCCTGTGTCCAGATAAAAACATCTGTGCATGTTTTATTACAGTCCATGTTGCTAAAGACCATATTTTACACTCTGAAGCTCCCTCCAGGGGTTACTGGTTGTGGTATCCATATGTTTCCAGAGTTCCTATGGGAATATGCCACATGAAGCCCTATGGGACAGCAATCCTCCACTGTGTGTAAGTACCTTTTAAAGACGCTGTAACATTCTACCTGTACCAGTAACAGGTTGGAGGGAAACTGGTTAGGATTTTTAGCCAGGTGAGACGAAGCAGCAGCATGCCGTGATGATGCAGACTACGAGTAACACACAGTCTGCTCTCAAAATGTTTTCTCAGGTAACATTCATTAGTCATGTAAATTACAAGCACTTCCAAGTTCAGCACAAAGAATGTGTTTTGCCCATTTGGAGACTCTTGGATGAGTTAGAAACAGCACAGAATTAATACTTATACAGAATAGCTGCAGGCAAGTTACCACCTCATGTTACTGGTCCTTCTGTGTGGCATCACAGCAGAGAAAAATGCAAAAACTACCTACACTTCTAACACTGAGGAGAATGGATATTGGAGCTATTAGCTGATTTTCCTGAAGAAATTATATCAGTAAAGACGCTCCTTGAGGGAAGACAGTAGGAAGATATCAGGGCAAACAGAGAAATATAGTGCACTGTTTTGTAACCCAACCATCCAAAACCAGTGTGGTTTGAGATACTTAACCACCTCTGATAAAATGTGAGGCGAAAACTGCAATAGGATAGGTTAAGCAAGTTAGAGAAATCATCCCTTAACCCATGCATGACATTTGGGATACTGCTGTGGAACAAAGAACCCCACCACGTACCACTTTTGGCCTGAAAGGTGGGTCCACCTCCCTCTTCTCTAGCGCTGCCCAGTTGATTGTTTTGAAGAAAGGATGGTCTCTGATGTTCCCAGTGACCCCAAGTCGTCTTGTTGGATCCCTTTCAAACAGCTGCAAGAGAAGATACCAGGTGAAGCCTCGTGTGTCTGCTCAAGAGGTAGGTGGCAATGGAAGAATAATGGTTGTACTGCTAAAAGAGCAAAAGCTGCTCACAGTAAACAGAGCACTAGCAATTGATCTTCCCTTTGTAGAAGTAACTTGCTTGCTGATAAACAGCTCCTTTTAAAAGCCTACATTTGCCCCTTCCTGGACACACACAGCACTGTTACCACTCGCTGATAATCAGTCCTACCTTTTCTAATAGATCTTTTGATTCCTTGGTAATCCAGCGTGGGTAGTGAGGGGTGTCCACTCGGATGGACTCAAACAGTTCGTCTTCATCATCCCCATGGAAAGGGGATTGCCCAATAAGCATCTCATACAGCAGGACCCCAAATGACCACCAGTCCACGGAGAATGTGTACCTCAAACCCTGCAGGATCTTGTTCCACAGAGGAAGAAACACAAGTAATTAGTAAAAGGCAGCAATATATATAAAAAATAGCCAGAAAGGGGCTTTAAGAGAGTCTTTAGAAACTGGGGTATTTCAGGGGGAGGGGGAAACCCAGCAATTAGACAAATTGTTGACACTGATGCACATCTGTAGTATTATCCTTGGCTGCTGTTTGTGCAGATGTGGACAGCTCAGGGGACAGGTCTGCTCTCATGCAGAAATTTTCTCCATTAAATAACTGTATACTTGGAAAACATCTCTAGTTTCTTTAAAAGATTAATGGAGAAGCAAGTAGTAATGAAAAGTAGGTTGTTACCAAAAAGACTTTGACATAATTTATAGCGTTAAAAGCTAACTACCGTATTGGGACTACTTTGCAAATTAGATCAAAACCCCCAACTATAACTAACATGGAGAAATTAACTTGGTGATATTCCCCTTAGAAGCTGGTTTAATATTGGAGTTTGGTTGTGTGCATAGGCACAAGTCTGTTCACCATATGTAGTGCAGGTAGATTCATTTTGGGGGAGCCCTTGTGCATACGATAGCTATAAAGGCATAAGGGAAAACCAGCTACTTAAAACCTGAACATTTTAACATTCCAAACCTATGTTTCTTTAAACTTGCAGTTACAGAATATTTACAAACCTTTGGTACCTTCTACAGAGAACCCAGATTTAATGTTTTTTTTTCTTTCTGTGTGCTAATTAGACTTTTACATTTATGAACTATTGGTCTACAAAGAGAGAATCCCATCAGTGCATTATTCCATTCTGGCAGTGATATACTGACCTCTGGAGCAATGTAGTCTGGGGTCCCACAGAAAGTACTGGCCTTATGATCACCAACAACATTTTCTTTGCACATCCCAAAATCGGCTATTTTGATGTGGCCTTCTTTATCAAGCATCACATTGTCCAGTTTTAGGTCTCTGCAAAAAGGGTTTTAAGAACAAGTGAGCAATTTTTGTATTCTGATGCATGCAGTTTCTTAACTGATAAACACCTCCCATCCATCATACAAAGAAGCTTTTCAAGAAAATGAGCATCCATGAACACAACATGTACAAACCAGTACTTTTGTACTTTGAAGGTGGTAGGGAGAAGGGAAGAATCTCTTGTCAGGATAAATAAGAGGTGTACGTATAGCAGGTAACCTTACAATCCTCAGTATTTGCTTTCAGATTCAGAAGCACACCATGTGCTCCTGTTGCTTCTGGAAGTAGGTGAGTTAATGCCCCACCAGTTGAGAGGGCAGCTCTGCACCAGCTCCACAGCTCAAAACAAGGATTGTTGGATTTTTAGGGCCTTTGGCAGGAGTGTGACTGTTTGAAGGTTGCTCAGCTGTTAATGCTACCTGTGACTTGTTCCTCCTTGCAGCACAAGGGGCTTCATGTGTTGTGGCTGTGGTGTGTGAAATGTCCTATTCATGTCTCTTTACAGAATAACACTGTTCAATCAAGAAAGAGCTTTTAACAGCAGTTTCCAAAAGCTACATTCCCTCCCTTTGACTCTGATACAGTTTTTTGTCCATCTGGCTACAAAAGCACATACCAAGGAGGGCAGGCTGAAGAGAAACTGAACAGCCCTTCTGCTTACCAAGAAAGACTTGAATAGAGCAGATCATTTTACATGAGAACAGGGCTGTCTTTTCTCCTTGCTCACTGAAGTTCCCAGTATTGGCTACTTACACTGCTCAGACGGTGAGCTGGAGCTCGAACCAACAGTCCCTGATCTAATGCAACGCACCATAACTCCTTCCATGTTTGGACATCAGCTGCTGTTCACCTGAGTAAATTGAATATATTTGAGATGGGGAAGACTCATGGTAACTTAGGGCAGTGCACTTCCCTAGCTACAGTTCTAAAATGACCTGCATGAATGTGCACTTACATGCAACACCTGCCTAAAACTGCTCCAAGTCAGGTTCTGTGATTATACTGCCAAACATCCTGCCTGAGACAGAGGGGAAAAAGAGTACAAGTACCTTTGGTTTTGCTGGTGTCGTGTGGAAAACAGTATTTTCTCTGAAAATATTTCATGCTACGAAATTTCCCCCAGGAACATTCTAATTTAATATAGGAAATTTAACCACAAGCCTAAAAATGCTCTAGAAAAGCTGGGATGGAAGGGTTTTGTGCTGCTGACAACATATCCTGGAGTTCGATCCTTTCCTGTAAAAGAACCTGCAGGAGGCAGTGGGAATACAGCTGGGTACATGAAGCACCTCCCTGGGTTACAGCTGCCTTCTCTGATGGGCAGACAGGCTTGTAAGAATCGTCTTTCCTCACCAAGGAGGATTCCTGTAATGTTCATCCTCCTTACAAAAAAACCCTTTTTTAGTAGTCTCTAACTTCAGAAAGTTGCTTTAAAGGATGATGCTCCAACAGATGTTTCCTGTTTCTATGGACAATACCAGAGGTTCTGGGGCACCTTTACCTCAGGCCTTGTGTAACATGCTGAGAACCACGCAGCCAGTTCTTTGAACCTGTTTGTAACAGAGGTAAGAGCTACCTGAGGAAATAGTCACTAAATGGTGCTCTGTAGCTGGGGTGGGGTGAAAAGGCTGAGAGAAAGGAAACTGAGAGAAAAACTACATGAAAATAAACTTCTGATCTTTTGTAGTGCAGGTATTTACAGCAAGAAGCAGTTGATCAGGATCTGGCTCCTGATGTTTCAACCTGGTGAGGCAGAAACATTAATATTGTGGTTCCAGACAACCACAAGGTTTTCACAGGGCAGCAGGAATGGATAGCCTCAAGGACCCTCTCCCTTGCCTCCAAACTAAATAGACTCATGATTTGAAAGCAGTGTTTAAAAATAACTGAAACAAAAGGGCTTTTGTGTAACATAAATAACAGGCCATCATTCTAGTTGCCAAGGAAAAGACACAGAGATACAGATTTGTCTCAGGCATGTTAATGCCCTTGGAATTGCATCAGATATCTGACAGGCAGCTTTCACTTGTTACATCAATCAGTAATTCAAAGATGCATGAAGTGCTAAGACAATTCACAGTCAGTACTCACCTGTAAATAATGCCTTTGCTGTGAAGAAACTGTAGCCCACATAAAATTTCGGATCCGTAAAACCTGAAAAGACCAAAACATCTTTTAATCTGGCTTGCTCAATTAAACACAGTCAATGCAGCTGCCAGAAGAGCTGCTGTAAGTAGCTCTTCATGGAGTGAGAACTACTGTATGCTTTTAAATACTGTATACCTGTACTTGGATAGCTGGATGCTGCTATCTGCAAGTTAATCCCCTCAGCACAGATCTGTAGATCTGTAGTATCTGATATCAAACAGTAGAGGGGGACACGAGAGCAACTTGCCTTAATGCTACCTTCCACTTCCATTAGGGAACACTCTCCCTGTTCTACTCTTTAATAGTCTTTGTATGCTTTTTAGTGATATGCACATGCCTTTTGAAAGACAGCTACTGGGAGCTCAGTACTGAGGATTGCTTTAGGAAGGACTGGGCACTAATGGCTAGGGTGGAAACAGACCTCAGTCATCTCCCTCTGCCCCCTTGCAGCAGACAGACTGAAAATAGGATTGCTTCAGAGGCATTCTCCTCAGAAAATGAGGTGATAATCCAGAGGATATGAAGGAAAATGCTAAAAGCATGCTTCCCCCAGAATGAATTAGAAGTTTGGGGTTTTTCTTAATTGAACAAATACAAAACTATTTCTACTTCTGTACAGCAGAATGAATGCTGACCCCAAACTTCAGGAACAGCTGCAGAGGCTGCCAGGAGAAGCTGCCAGATGCACAGATGATTGCTGGAATGCAGGTAAACTGCAGGGCTTTATCAGATATCCCACCTGGGGAGGGTGGGAAGGGAGCTTGCCCTGACCTGTAAAGCTGGATGCTACCCAGCCACTGTTTATGCCAGATGCCCGATCTGATCCTGTCTTGTCAGTGTTCCTTAGCAGAGGGCACACTAACAGAAGTTATTTTCAGTCTGGCTATACGACAGCACTGGTGGGTACTGGTACCCTGCGCTGTTACTTTTAAGGTCTTGTATGCACCCATTCAGTGATGCAATTAAAACCCTCATGCTTTCCGATGAGAGCGCTAGAAACTTACCTAAACAAAAAAAAATCATAGAAAAAGTAACAATAGTACAGTGGTTTTGCATCTTTTGAATCTTCAGCTCCAGTGAACTTGAAGCCATAGGTAGCTGACACAACTGCACTTGCTGAAAAAGTGCCTACCCATGTTACTAGTATCCTGTGGGACGTACAGGTTACCCCTCTGTACTGTCACATCAAGTTAGCAATACTACTAAGTAATATAAACGTGATGTTTGTCTTTCTCCTGTGCTTTTTCTAGACTTTTTCTTTCCTAAAGGATGCTGAAACTGTCCCTTTTGTTTTTTGTTGCTGGCTCATGTTGCAGTTTAGTTAGCATCTCTAGGAACAAACATCCCATAAAGTAGAATATCACACTGCATGTAAACTAAGAAACTCTACATGTCATCAAGTGAGTTTCTTCACTGTATTAACAAGTGCTTAGAAATACCTTTTCAATGATCAGCCACTGAAACTTCAGGGCAGGTAGGTGGTGCAGAACTAGAAGCAGTAAAAACAGAGACTAACATCATTCAAGGAGCTAGGGAATTAAAGGTTATGGTCTTACGTTGCTCTGTAGAGATCAAAACGCCCCTTGTCTTGTATGTGGAACATCAGGTCTCCCCCATTCAGGAACTCCATAACAAAGAACAGATGATCCTGTTTGCAAATAACCAGAGAATGGAAAAATTACTGGTTGTATTGCAGTCATGTATGAAGTAGAGATGTGTGTTCTGGGGACCAAGCTGCCACTTTGCTCCCCTCCAGAGGTATTTATTTCATGCACCCTATAGAGAGCAAGAGTCTCCTATAGAGTTGAGTAGCCTGGTCTTGTCTTGTAAAACTAGACAGCTGATCCTGTATTCTGTGCAGTTCTAGATTTAGCAGACACTTAAATAGACTTACTGACTTCTACATGTGACAGGCATCTTTTCTTCCCCTCACCGAGGGAAAAGCTCAGATGAAGGATTTAAGTTAAATTGCCTCTTATTCTAAATTGCACAGATGTTTTTCTGATCTTACTCTGTTCTCATCAATGCATGTGGGGGTCATGCTCATATTTCCACAAGGTTTCTGAACTACTGTACAGAGCACAAGAAAAGGAAATTTAATTCTCACATCACTAAGTCACTCTCGCTTGACTGCTGGTGACAGCATCCATTACAAGGCTAAATCTGTTGTGTTGCTGTCACCACTGGGTTTTTCCTTACCTTTGTCTGAAAAGTGCAGTAGAGATGGGTGAGAAATGGATTTTCCCATGCAAGTGCCAGGACCCGCTTTTCCACCATGGTACATTCCACATCATCATCAATTAGCACCACATCTTTTTTCAGAGCTTTGATAGCAAAGAATTCATTCTTCCCTTTCAGCTCAGCGAGCAGAACCTACAACAGAAAACCCAAGATGAGATTACAGCACACGCAGGAAACGCTGTTGCTGATGATATCAATAAGGGAAAGTCAAAGTTGTTTATAGCAGGTGAAGTAACAATTAAAAAAAAACATTTAAATGGGAAAAATGAGTGAGATTTGGGAAGGTGAAGTTGCTGGATATAGAGATGAGGAGGTGGAGTTCAAGGGCTGTGTAGCACTAGCACAGCAGCTTCCAGGGCACTTTTTCTGTTGGTGTCTTAGTGAATGTATAAACAGAAAACATGTAAAGCCTGTTCCTTCATTAGAGCTGCAGTTTCATAGACAACAGTAGATGGACTCTGGGGAGGTCACGCTGCTCTCTCCCACCTCCCCCTGCCACTGCACCCGAGCATCACAAGGCTGTTTCTACACAGTGTGTATGAATATAAAATAACCTTTTGCACTGTGGTGCACAAAGGGCAATTCCTCTACCTTAATACTAAACAACTGAAAAACTATTGTGCATTATGAATCACTTTTGGGTTTAGACAACACTCGGGTAAGGAATTTCTTGTGTCTTTGACAAAAAACGGGTACATTCAGTTCTGTTTAAAGATCATCTACACAAGCAGCTCTAAGACCTGTCTGGTTAATGGAAAGAGCCTGCCATATTGCAGAAACCAAGCAAGGTTCTCGCCGTAAGGGCTGTAAGTTTGTCACATACCTTTCCAAAACTTCCTTTCCCTAGTACTTTATGGAAGACAAAGCTGTCTATGTTGAATTTTCTCCTTCTTGCAATTCGTGATGCTGTCTTGGCTGTGCTTCCCTCCCAGAGTTTATCGTACTCGCTATCTGCCGGTTGAAACAGGGAGTTTAAAGTTCAATATATGCAGCAATACTGTGTGACTCAGATCCCCTGGTAAGAACTAAGTATTGACATGTATTTCAGTGCATCTGGTGCTGGAATACTGGTGAATCCGAACAGAAGGGTCAGCTCCTGTTGTTTGTCACAAAGTTTAAATCATTTGAGCACACTTGATACTTGGATTTGAACTGACTCTGTGACTGTTCCTCAGGCTTGCTTTAAGCAGTATTTCAGCATTATAAAAACCAAAGGCACTATGACTAAGACACAGCATACTTTGGAGAAAAAGATACTTTACAAGAACTTCTTGTAAGCAAATTATTTATATTCTGTTAGCAGAATGGGATATTTGTCTGTCTAAGCAGATTGGCCATGAAAAGATCTGATTTCTGCCCAGTGCTGGCTAAGCAGCATGATCATACAGGTTAATCCTGATTATATCCTAAAACTAATAACTGTACTTTATTTTGACCTCCACTGCATTGATCTGCTGGGTCACTAAGATGACCCTGATGATAATCATGAGGTGATACCACATACACCCCATAAGCTGCCCAGCATCTGCGATAACCCAGGGAGGAATAACAGTGGCTGCACCCTGACTCAGTACTAAACCAAACCACCTTGGCAAGAGGTTGTTTGTGTTTTTTTTTTTTTCCTCTGTTCTGGCAAACTGGAAGAAATAATATCAAAATAAATTTCTTACTGGGCATTTGAACAGAACTGGTGCAATAAATGGATGAAATCCTGTACCACTACAGAAGCACCCGTCATCTCTTACTGAGCCTGGTGATTTCCATCTGGTAAAAAGTTACTTTGACTGTTACATTTATATTTGCATAAATTATCTTAGGTTAGCAGTTATGAAAATAAGGCTTATACAATGCTAGAACTCTTTGGTGATAGTAAAAAAATCTGAAAACAACCCAAAACCCCCACACCTTACTCTGAACCTGCAGAGACAGGATCCCAGGCACTACTTAAACTACTCCAAGTAGTATTTTGGCTAAAATCCTGAAACAGACAGCACTTGTGGCTGGTTTCTAATGGTTTATGAACAAACCAATACAATTAACAACATGCATGACATTTCAGGCCCAGGAGGGAGGGAAGCATCCTCCAGTTCCATCATGGGGAACTGCATTGCCACAAATGAAGCAAGCATGTTGCATAAAGGTGAGTATGCTCATGGACCAAAAACTACAGGTATTTATCAATAGTTAAGTAAGCATTTTGTGTGGCTATGAGAAAGTAAATATATGATTTTTTTCAACAGTGCTTATTAAAAAAATAATTGTCTATTGCAATGCAAGGATGAATAACAACTTAAATTGTTAGCTCGTGCAGCCTGGTAGTTTAACTGCTAAATTAAAACAGTGCAGTTTTTCTCACCTGTTGCATCTCCTCCTGGTGCTCTGGATTTCTTATCAAAATCTTGATAAATACCAACACTTTCTACAGATCCAGAATCAGACCTTCGTGTGTATTTCTGAGGAGAAGGCAAACACTTGAAATTACATTTGCACTATTACTTCAGAAACGCTTATAGCAACTGCCATTAAATGTAACATGATGGCACTATAAACTTTTAGTTTTAATTATTAATTCCTAGGACATAAGTTGCTCAAGAAATCTGGCTCATAAACTATTTAGCCACATTCTTTACAGCTTCTGATCAGCCACTTGCTTTACTTCACTGCAAGAAAGTAAGTCACTGAAATTCCTGAAGAGTCTGTGTTGTACTGTTCTTTGCAAAATCATTAGAGATATAATGGTCTGAATCCACAGGGGGGGAGAATTTAAACTATGGGAAAATGTCCCCTTGACATTAAGTTCATGTTGAAAAGGAGATGGGAATTGCTCTCATACTGGACCTGCTTAAGTCATAGCTGTGTGTGACATTTGTCTTCGCACACAGAAGCAAATTTTATGTATGGAAGATCCCAGAGATCAAAATTTAGTAATTAAAAGATCAAACTCTTCTGCGCCATAAAAGAGCTGGTGGAAGAGCTCTCACTGCTTTCAAAGTCAATATGCTGTGAAAGCTTCAGAACACTCAGCTCAGAGGAAATGCTGTTGGATTTTGCGATATATTTATTTTCCTGTTTTATTTCAGAGCTTTTGGATCTTTATTTGCAAGTCAGAAGCTGACCACAAGAGACAGGCCTGCTGCAGCAGGAGATGAACAATGTAAACTATGGGGCCAGTGTTAATTCCAGTTTTCTGTGTCTACACACCAGATTAATAAAAATTGAGAATATATGGTATATTTCTCCTCATTTAATTTTAGCATTCAAGTGAAATTCTAAAGTTGAAGCACAGAAGAACAGACTTCAATGTTATAATTCCACTGTTTACACCATTAAACAGAAAGTGGGAGAATAACCTTGAAACCACAAAACAACAGAGTTGGATTTCAGGAACTCATACCCATTGCGGTTTTAACTTTAGGCTACTGATCTCTGTTAGTCTCTTTAAGGGTCAAATTAGAGAACCCTGTTTGCATTTCCTCCCTTTCAAACTCTGTTTCCCATAACAGTGGTATGGAAAAGATGATGTAAAGACCCCCAAATGCTCTGAAAGCAATTAATTACCTGAGGAATGGAAATAAAGCATACCTGGCTAACTTGATTTAAAGCTTCAGCTAGCAACTTCTGGTTTATTCCACATAAGTTTGCCACCTTCTTCTGGCATTTATGGTGCACATTCATCCCACATTCTAAAAGAAATGTAAGGTCAGTTATACAAGCATTGGGAAACTACTGTCTGATGTTATATCAAAAGGGGCAGCTTTTCTGTGTAGTTCAGAAACCTTGTTTTAAGACCAGACTGGACAGGGATCTATCATTGTTATTTTAATCTTTAAATCACTGAAGGCTACAGAAATCGTTCAAAAGGAAAAAAAACCTTCATTACTTTGTTCTCAAAATCTGTTACAATGAAGATCACCTTGCCTTTTTGTGGGAGAATTATAAAAGTGTTATTTACAGTTAACACTTTGAATACACTTTTAAGTGCTACCTTGAGTCAGACTCACCATATTTCAGCTATTCCCAAAGTAGTAATTTTGATTATACACACAATTACACCTCTGCAGCACGTTTTGACTCCATTAGCAGCTCACCTTGGCTGAGCTGTCACATGAGCCAAGTGCCAATTTGTCTCTCTCTAGTATAAAAGCATTTTTCACCACACACAGATGAGACAAAACCCATTATGTGTAACACAAACAGAAATACAGAGTGTGTAGCAATAGCTCATCTCTAGTGCGGGTGGAACACTGGAAAAGCGTGGAGAGGTCCCAGCTACCCTCCCTCCTTCTCTGTACCTTCACATTTGAGTCCTTGTTTGACCAGCCCCCAGAGCAGGCTGCCGCAGTGGTCGCAGAAGGTAGGGCTCATGTAGTTGTAAACTCTGAAGCGATGAGGCATGTCAATGTTGAAACGTTCCTTTTGAAACTGAGGACAAGGAGAGGGGTGAGGCACCCTACCCCACAACAGGACCAGCTTCTCACAAAAGAACTGCTTGGATGTTACAAAGCTGCCACAACTTTATCTTGAATACCCTGGCCTCAACATCCTTCATCAAGCAGGAACAGAACCTGCCCAGCAACTACTACCCAACCCCTTCTTGCAGGGCTTTTAACTTCTTTTCTTGCTTTAGAGTTTCATCCTCTACACATTATATACAACCTTCAGGGGAAGACAGCACCTTAGGTTGTACAGCCAAGCACCTCCAAAATGGACTTGGCTGTTTCTGGACAAGGTTTTGTTACTTGTGTTTTTAATTATATTCTAAATACATTGATCCAGCTCTTACCATTGTGTCCCTGCTGTTGGCCGCCGTACCAGTACACCTCCCAATGATCTTATCAATACATTTCTTATGAATAGCAGCATTGCATTCTTCAAGACATGCACAAGAAAAAAGAAAGATTCCTTCAGATAATAAATACATGTGAACAGATGTTTGCATTTCATAGGGTAATGTGAAAACCATACTCCTTTCCATCACCTAGTACCTAGAACGAACCCTTTCCTTTCTATAAAGATGATTCTTTAAAGCTGATTCACCCCATTTTCTTTTAGCATAAACTCAGTTGCTAAACTAAATCTACTCCCATTAGGCAATGCCACCAGCATTTGATAACAGAAAGATAATATCATGCTCATGAGTTTTGCCATTTGATATCTCCCCTACTGTTTGGACAATGCAGAGATCTATGCTAAGTCAAAAATGCTTTTCAAATAAGCTATAAAACCTCTCAGTAGTTGTAATTCATTTTAGCACAGGTTTCAGGAAAACTTCTGTCAGAACAGAGTGCAACTTTTCAACAAAATAACACACTTATGAGAAGAATAGCCAAATCTAAAGCTTGATACTAAGAATCTCAACTGGAAATCATAATTAGACAGCCTTAGGTTATTATGCAAAACTGATGTTCAACATCTACTGCTACCTCTGTGGATAATGCATTGTGCCATGCATATTAACAGAAATTTTCAACAGTAACTACTAGATCTACAGATTCAGCTGGAGAGTAGTACAAGAAAAAGGTAAAAAGTCAACTTACGCCTACATTTGTACCCCTGCTTGTTGAGTCCCCTGAAAAACAAATGATAAAGAAGCAAATAAAAACCCCATATGTGTGCTGGAATAAAAGGTCGTGTCAACCAATCAAGCCTTTGGCTACGGGAATACTTGGTCAAATTAATAAACTGGTCTGAATTTTGCTATTCAGAATCCTCTGTCTTTAGAAAGCCAGATTTAGAAGATAAGACAGTATGTTTTGAGAGGCCAGCAAATTAGGATGCAAACCTAAAATGGGGGTAGGGGAAGTTTAGTGTTTCCTTCTTACCATACAAAGTCTTTGCAGACAGAACAAAACGTAGGTTGTCCAAAGAAGGTAGCAATAAATTCATGATTTTTGATGTAGTGGATTTTGGCTTGCTTGATAGCTCCTCTCCTGTTCATAGTTACTGTGCCTTCCTCTTCCCTCATTGATTGTTTGCAGTCTAGGGGGGAGACAAGAAGACATGTTTAATACTTTCAAGCATTACAAAGATTAATATTTGCTTCTCTAATAGTTTAGTCTGTTTTTCTGTTTCAGACTTGTGTTTTTATTTTACACCTGTATTCTTCAGACTTTCAGTCCAACAAGGGTAGGACACATGCACACAAGGGGTCTCTGTGCCTTGTTTGCAAGCACTTCCACATTCAGAAGAAGCCTTAAGCAAGTAAGTCAAGAGGTAGAAGCAGGAATGGAGCTCAGTCTTGCTAGAGAAATGACAACCACAGTTGTTTCTTGCAAAAAATATACGCTCCTATATGTTAGGTGATTTATGTGCAAGAGAAGTGAATGTTTCATTGGAAGCAGAAGGGTCTTCTCCTTCAGCAGAAGCCTCCATGATCATTAAGGAGTGAGGACAAAGGAGATTTTCAATTAGACCTTTGCATTATGCTATCTCAAAATGCTGATGCTATGTCTGTCAACATGTCTCAGGCTCACTCCTTTCCCCTCCTAGCCCTCATGGGATTACAGTATATAGCACTATATAATCTATAGTAACAAGAGTACATGCTACCATACATTCCATAGCATCTAACACTGTATAACACAGAAAAAATATATAGTATTAGCCAAGAAATAGAACGTCAATGAAAAATAAACCTCGTTGGCTCATAGAGGTTCTTCATTACAAATATAGTTATTTCCCCTCATTTCTGAGTTTCTCTTACAAAAATGAGTATTTTGAGTCTCAATCTTTCAGCTTCGACTAAGACTATGCAGTCTTACTTTTACATTTTGAAAACAATAGGCATTTGTAACAAAGGTAACCCCATGAAGGTGTAATTAAGGGAGACTGGATAACTGGTAATTTAACCCCAGGACATAGCTTATTGTCAACAGAGAGGAGCTGTTGAGGGACAATCCCATCCAGCAGGAAAAGCTAAAAGCTTGAATCTGCAATGAGGAGCTGATCAACTGCTGACTGCATCAGCTCTGGCCAGCAGCCTGTGGGTCCCCATCTGGAAGAAACACAGACACGGTTCATAGATTTGAAGTGCTGCAAAGTTTAGGGTAAGTGCAGCAAAGTTTAGGCTAACAGGAAATTGCTGCCTGCAGGGTGGGAGTTTCCACAACAACAGAGTAAAAAGAAAGCCAGAAGAGCATTTTTCCCATTGCCAATACAATTGGGTTTTATTTGCTCCATTGCATTGCTGCCTTTTATCAGTATCAGCAAGAGCTTTGCTATTTTATACCGATAGAAAGAGATCTGCTTCCTTTGCCAAGTCACACTAACTGCAGTGCCTGAACTTACTCCAAAGTTACCCAGGATCTCTGCTTTTCTTGCTGCTAGCTGCACTTGGGTTTTGTCATTAGCTGCCTGCCACCGCTTCTGTTCCAACAGACCACTGAACCTGGAATACAATCTCTCATTTGATACCATTTTGAGTGTCCTGAACTTATTTAACAGGCACATGCAACAGCAGCCAGCCTGCAGCAGCATGTATGGTCTTACAAAAGGAAGGACGTCAGCTCCGAGATTAAGGAAAGATTAAGGTTATTAATGAAAAGAAAGCTCAGAAAAGGTCCCTGGGTTTTGCTACTAGGTATTAATGCACTTTTCTGAGAAACTGGCCATCTGGTTCAGAGAAAAACCCATCTTGCCTCCCCCTAAAGAGAGCTCACAACATGTGCTACGACACCCTGGCACCACGTACAACACTGAGTTACCTCTTCCCCTCCAGGAACAGGATTCGTTTCTGTTGTTCAAACAAGCTGCTGAGTTCACCCAACAAAAACTCCCATCAGCTGCTGCACTTCAGCTCATCCAAGTCTGCAAATAGTACTATCTCTTTGTTCAATCCTGCTGAGCAAATACACAGACCTCACCCACTGTTTCTCAAATGCTTCAAGGAAACCACACTGAAATGTGTGTGCAAAGGAAACAAGTTGCCAAGAGTCTTCATACTGTTTGCTGCATGAAGTGATGTCTTCCTAAGGGTGGCTTAATCAGTAACAGCAACAAAGCAGAGAAAGGGGTGTTGCTTCATAGCATATATTCTGAGAGATAACCTGTGATGGAGCAGATTAAGAGACAAAAGGCTCCCTGAAGTCTGTAATCAAGTGTTCAGTGAGGAACTAACAGGGTTCACCAGGTGAACAGGACCCAGCTTCTCCCCATGCTGAAATACCGGTAGCAATTTAGTATTGCTGATACTGCATGCAAAAGCCTTTGACAAAACTTGATCAGGATATGTT